TCTTGCTTCATCTGCTGTCTAGAGATAGACCCCAAATATCTTCATCCTTAGACAACCACTGGGGTCCTTATATTTTCCTTCCAAAGGCAAAAGATACCAGCCACACGTTACTGGGAACTCATGTCTCTTCCCTTTCATTGGGCCTTTCCAAATTACAGATAGAGCTCTGTTTGCCTAAGGTCATTATTGGTTCTTCTGTGGAACCTGTACACATGAACTCCACACCCAAGATCTTTAACCTACAATGCATGGATCAATAGGAATCAAGGCATCTAGGGTTTCTTGGATCTGAAACTGTACACTGAATTTTACACTTGCCTAGTTTTCTTGGATCCACAGCTTTCCCCAGATTTACAAGCAGCAGATCTTAAACTTTTCAAAAAATCTGTTTCTATCACATGTAAAATACGTTTGGTGTTTGATTGAGCATTCTGTTTCTGGGAATTTATCCTGTAAAACCAAACCCATCCGTGAGTAGAGGTATTCACAGGTTACTCATTGTGGTACTTTTTGTAGTAGTAAGTTACTGGAAATAATATAGAAACTGTGGTCAACTTAGTGCAATGGAATACCATGTGCCCACTAGAAAGATCCAAACTGGGTGCTGTGGCTCCTGAGTTGTTCCAGCTACTTGGGAGTCTTAATATAGGAGGATCACTTGAGCCCAAGAATTTGAGGCCAGACTGGGCACCATAGAGAGATCTCCCTCTGGGGGGCAGGAGGAATTCCAAAAAACTCTAGGAATATGTTTTAGTGCAGAAGTTTCGGGAAGGGCTTCTGCTCCTTGAAGACACTGGGTAAGGTCTGAAGACATTTTTGGTTGTCAAGACTGAGGGTGCTCCTGGCACGGGACTGGTGGAGGCCAGGGATGCTCCACCACACCCTGCCGTACCCAGGACAGCCCCACCCCGGAAAACAATCTGTCCCCAAATGTCAACAACGCCAGGGTAGAGAAATTTTCTCTCCAAGACACATTTAACAAAACACAGGGTCTGGCAGAGTATAGGCTATCTATCACTCTGTGTGCTTTGCTTTTACAGGGAAGGTGGACACGTATTTGGGGGAAGAAACATGAGAATTTCCCCGTTTCTGGGGAGAGGAGTTGGCTGCCTGAGGATGGGGTCGCCTTTCATTCTACCCTTTCAACTTGGACCGTGTCCATCAAGAGGACTTTGGAAGCAACTCTCTAGATGCAAATGCCCCCTGCCCCTGGGCTCTCTGGCAGGAGCCCTGGGTCCACAGCCTCGCGACTTGGTTTCTTCGCCTTCTCTGCCCGCGTCGCGCCTTAGAGGGGGGCAGGAGGGCGCGGGGTCCACGTCCCGGCCAGCCTCTGGGAGCATCTCGCCCCGGCGGGGCTCTGCCGGCCCTTCCCAGAGACGGAGCTCCGGGGTGGCCCCGTCGGTCCCCGGCGCTGCCCTCCCAGCGCGGAACACGTGCCAACGCCGCCCCGGAGTCGCCGGCGACCCCGCCCGAGCCGAAACCAGGCCTGGCCCGCCGCTCGGCCGCCCAAGCCCCCGCGTCGGGCCGGGCCCCGCTCACCTGGCTCGCCTTGTAGAACTGTTTCTTCAGCCCCGCCACCGACATGCTGCCTCCCGCCGTCGGGCCTCCTGCCCGGACCCAGCGAACCGCAGGCCCCGCACAGATCACCAGATCCCGGGCGCCGCCGACCCCTCGCGTGCCTCCGCGGGCCCCGTCGGCGCCGCCCCCGCCGCCCGCTGGCCAGCTCCGCGCCCGCTCCGGCGCMGCCTCAGCCGCTTGCGCGCCCGCGCGGCCAGGATATTACATGGCAACCGCACACTTCCGGTGCCGGCCCCGCGCGCGCCCGGCCCCGTCTGCGCACGCGCGCCCCCTGCCGGCCCGATAACGCACGCGCACTTCTCCTGGGCGTGTGAAGCGAGCGGGAGAGCCTTCTCCGCCAACGAGTAACGCCGGCCGAGCCTAGAGAGGCGATGGGGGCCGCAGCGCCCCCGGAGTCCCGACGGCGGAACCAGAGTCCTGAAGATCTCGGCTTGGGGAAGGCGCACAGTCCTGAAGATCTCTTCTCCAGATGCCTGTCTGCTCATCTCAAGGAGGCCCAGTTCTCGGTGTATTCAGGCCCCATCCCCGCCCTGTCGCGTGTCCGTCTGTTCAAATTCCACGCCATTTGGTATTATTGCCCTGATCATAGCTGTCCACTAACCTTCTCACTGGCCGTCCACTTCCGGATTCTCTCCTGAAGTGCATTCCACACCAGGCAATCAGAAGGATACGTTCAGAATTCAATTCAGACCATCGGTCTTCTGCTTCAAGTCCACGCACTAGCCATGGGATAGACTCCAGCTTCCTAACATGGCTACAAACCCTGTAGAGTCTGGACCGGTCCATTCTTCCGCTCTCTGCTCTCTTCTTTAATTAACGATCACTGTCGCCCACTCGGCCCTGTCACCCCTCTTCGGCGCTGGGGACGGAGACCAGGGCCTCGCACAGGTTAGGCAAGTGCTGTACCACTGAGCCACATCCCCAGATCGCCTATGGGTTGGTGCTCACAGGTTTAGAGGTCTCAATCCATAGACTGTCAGCTCCATTGCTCTGGACCCAAGAGGAGGCAGAACATCATCACATCTTGGCGGAAAAGTGTGATGGCCAAAAGAAACGGAGAGAAATCAGCTCATAAGGACAAAATAGGAACCCCAATGTCACACCCACAGTGACCCACCTCCTCCAGCCACACCCTACCTGTCAGCAGGTAGGGTTAAGTAATTCAGTTAATCCATTCAGGTGGATTCACGCACCTGTTAGTTTAAGGCTCTCATAACCCAATCATTTCACCTCTGAATGCTTTTGTATTCTCACACATAAGCTTTTGGAGGACAGCTCAAGTCTGAACCATAACAAGGACTCTACTGGGAATGTCACCTCCTCCAGGAAGCCTCCCCAGATAGATGATCTTTTTTAAAAAAAATTTTAGTTGTAGATGGACAAATAAACAAATATTTATTTATTTATTTATTTATTTATTTATTTATTTATTTTATGTGGTGCTAAGAATAGAACCCAGTGTCTCAATCATGTGAGGCAAATGCTCTACCACTGAGCCACAACCCCAGGCCCAGATAGATGATCTTCATTGATATTGATTCTCACGTCAACTGTTATTGATAACAATGTATTGAATGAATTGGAAATTAATAATGAATTGGAGTGAATAAATGATTCCAAAAAGAAGAACAAGAAAATGACACAACCAAGGTGCTTGGAACTTCAGTGTTGAAGTTGTTGACAGATTTGAGTGATCTTTTTTGTACCAGAAAATTGCTGAAAGTTTCACATGCTCAAGAGAAGACACTGGATTAGATCAGAGGGTTGCTTCAGAATACATATGCCCCAACTTCACTCCCCAAGATAATGATGAGGCTACTATGAATACTTTTTAGTTATGAAGAGTTTGGAAAAGCTCCTCATCTGATTCTGATACACACTTTGAACTGTGATTATTACAGAATGTCAGATAAGGGGGAGAACACATCCTATGGCTAAGACAGGGAGACTGAAGCTTTGAGTAATGAAACGGCTTGCCCCAAATGATGTCTTTTAGTTTCCTATTTCTCCATATTTTCCAATTCTATGAATTTAATTAGTCAATCTAATCCTCAACAGAACTCCAAACTTGGACTACTTTCCAACTTTTCACATCATATCCATTTCTGTGATATTAAATTGCTGCTGAAGAAAACCTGTTTCTAGACTCACAGTCTGATACTGAAACTTTTTTTTTTTTTTTTTTTTTTGTATCAGGGATTGAACTCAGGGGCACTCAACCATGGAGCCACATCCCCAGTACTATTTTGTATTTTATTTATAGACAGGGTCTCATTGAGTTGCTTGGCACCTCGCTTTTACTGAGACTTGCTTTGAACTCAAGATCCTCCTGTCTCAGCCTCCTGGGCTGCTGGGATTACAGGCTTGCACAACACAACCGGGCTTGAAGCTGTTTTCTGTATGATACTTTGTGTGTGTGTGTGTGTGTGTGTGTGCGCGCGCGCATTTAGAATGGAATCAGGGACCCTTATATCCTTGACGATCACTCTGTCACCGAGCTACACTTCCCTGTCCCTGCCCTATGTGAGGTTTTTAACCTGCATGATGTAAATAAACAATTCCATAAAAATGGTATTTATGCATTCACTCAAATATTAGTTGAGCGCCTACGATCACTGCCAGGTTCTGGTGATGAATGATACTTGCCTTCATTGAGCTAATGACAAAAACAAAAATTAGGTACTAAAATTGATTTATTAGTCAAATGATACCTTAATATATAGTCATAGATATCGTCAAGAAAAGGAAGTGTTGCAAGCACTCGATTTTGTTACAGATGGAGGAGGTAAAGGTTTCTTCACGAGTCGATCTAAGATCTGAAATTTGATAGAAATCAGCCAGGAAAAGAGCTGCCTGTGGAGGAAACAGGCTTGTGCAACAATCCTGAGCATTAAAACAGAAACATCCGTTTTATTCATTCTCTCCGAATATATCTGCTGCATACCAAATGCTGCTGATGGCTGCCAAGACTCTATTTTATTGCTCATATAGAAAATTTCTTTTTAATTGTAGTTGCTATATTCAGCAAAAGCCTAATGAGGATAAACTCAAATGCTCACAGTCCTCAGCTAAACCGTAGTTCCCAGTTGTCTCCGGCCCCCCTTAACCCTATCCCACACGCTCAGCCAATCGCAGTGCGTAGCTTTCAGTTAGACATCTCCCATGCCCAATCACAGGGCTTCTTAGTCCAGCCAATGAGCGGCGACCGGAACGGAGCCCTACCTCGGCTCGCAGGAACATCAATAGAAGAGCCACAGGGGGAACGGAAGCCACGGCTCTCGCGAGGATGCTCCCGGCGCTCCTCTTTCCCGAGGCGGGATGTCACGTGGTGCGGCCTCGCCCAATGGGCTCGCAGACTGCAGGGGTCGCCGCGGTTCCCGCCAAATACGAGCGCGGCGGCCGTGGCAGCAGTGGCGCGGGAGGGAGGGCGAGCAGCAGCGGCCGCTGGAGCTGAGCCCGCGCCCCCGACGCCCGAGAGGAGCTTGAGCTGCCGCCGGAGCCATGCTGGAGGAACCGGAGGGCGGGGTGCCGGGTGCCAGGGGAGCGGCCGCAGGTCAGTTCGGGCCTGCATGAGGGAAAGGGGCGGCGCGGCCTGTGCGAGCCGAGAGGCCGGTTGGGGGTGGGCTGGCCTCTGGGCGCGAGCCTGCTGCTCCGGGCCAAGCGTGCCGTCCTCGGAGCCCTCGGATACCGGACAGGCGCCCAGTGACCCGGAGGACGCCCTTCTTGACGTTATTGTTGCAGTCGCGGTCATATATACAAATTCCTTCTTCCTGGCGCCTTTGCATCACTTAGCCCTTCCAGGGCCTCCTGTGGATGACGGGTGCCTGGAGGGGAAACAGGCTCCAGAGGTGGAGGGCCAGCTTTGCTTCTTACCGAGTGCACTGTGTCCTAAGAGAGCTGGACCTTGCAGCAGGTGGGGAAACCGAGGCTTGAGGTCACGTCGTCTTGGGGGGGGACTGAAATCAGAGCAGCTGCCTCTGGGGATCTGGGCAAGCCCAGCCAGGTAAGAGGGTTGGGTGCTGCGGATTGCCAGGGAGCTGGACTCCGGCCTGCTGTGCGAAGTTGCTTTCTCCTCCCTGTTTCTTGGAAGGGGTCTTTCTAGCCTACAGAGGCTTCCCAGAACTGGGGGTGGTCAGCCAAATAAATCCAGACTGCCCTTCTTTCCTGCTTGACTCCACATGGTAACCCCAGCACTTGGCACAGTTCTTGGCACGTAGTAGTTGCCCAATAAATGTGTGCTGGTTGAATGGATTAAGGGCAAGAAGGGATATCAACTAGTCTAGTCCAGGGCTTCTCAGTCTCAACACTATTGACATTTGGTGATCTTTTTATTTAACCAAGTCAGGATGTCTAGTTAAAAACATAAAACCAAATACCACTTGTTATGACCATATTATAACACAAAGTCTGTTTTAACACCAAATAGAATTAGGAAGGATGTAATCTTAAAAGAGCAGTTGGGCTGGGGCTCTAGCTTAGTTGTGGAGCGCTTGCCTGGCATGTGTGAGGCACTAGGTTCAATCCTCAGCACCACATAAAAATAAATAAATAAAGGTATTGTGTCCATTGACAACTAAAAAAAAAAATAAAGAGCAGTCTGTAACACTATACACAGGAGTGTTGAATATATATCTTTGAATAGTCTGGTTCCTTGAGAGGGTTTTTTTGTTTTGTTTTTTGTAGTTGTAGAAGCCCCAGCCCTGGGTGGGTCCCTTTGTTATTGATCTGATGTGGTTTCTGGGCACAGGGCATGTCTGTTTCCCCTTCAGTTCTTGCTAGTGACTCGGAGTCCTGCAAATAAGACCATGAGGTTATCCTGAGAATAAATTTAAGTGGCTGAAGATTATGGCGGGAGGGGATCTATGTTTTTATTAACTGAAAACTTAAATTTTTTTTTATTCACTTTAAATGATCAGAAAGAAAACATGGGCACCTTATTCTCCAGGCTTAGGTCAGAGTTGGGTGGTAGGTGGCAATTTCAGCTGTGGACAACTGAGTTTAGAAAAACCCAGTCAGATTTTCACGTAGCTTTTATAAAATGTGATTCCCAAAATAAGCTAAAATAGATTTTTCTAAGCCAGATTGCCTGGCAGGTGTGGTCTTGTATGCTTAACATAACTGTTTAAAGATATTTATCCAAAGACTTGGTTCTATTCATGGTTAATTCTGCATCAACTTTGGTATTGTTAAATGCTTTTCTTGGAGATTTTTTTGATTTAGAAAAATTTTCTCCTTTAATGGAGCACTTCAGCTCCTGCCTGACAAGTTGAAAGTACTTTCAATTGTGTTTCCTTCCTACCCTCCCTTTAAAATGAAAATGAATTCTTTCCTGATTTACAAAGCTAGTGGTGATGTAGGGGGTGGGTTAGAAAATGATATTTGGGGGGCATGGGGAAGTAAATAGGAAAATGTGTTTTTTCGCATATTTACCTTTACTCAGTCCACTGCTCATTGTCCCTGTTACTATCTTGATTGGTTCCCAGTGTGTTCCAGAGCCCACACTAGGTGTTCTAGGTACCTATGAAACAACTCACTGCTGGCAGACAGCTGCCTTTTTTTTTTTGGCAGGAGGCATAATCACAAATATTTCATTGTGAGTGCCAAAAAGAAAACAAAACAAGATATGGAGGTAATCTAGGGCAGAATGTCTCAACTTATTAACATTTTGAGCCAAATGACTCTTTGGCCTGGAGGCCTGACCTGTTCATTGCAGGGTATTCAGGAGTATCTCTGGCCTCTACCAACTAGACTTTATTGTATTTTTTTTTTTTGGCAATTCTGTGGATTGAACCCAGGACCTCATACATGCTAGGCAAGTGCTTTACTAATGAATGAACTACCTCAGGCCCCTAACTATACCCTAGAGCACACCTAAGATTTCCCCCTAAATAACAAATAAAAATGTGTCTAGGCGTTGCCCAGCATCCCTAAGGGGCAGGGGGCAGCATCATACCCACTTGAAAATCCCCTTGTACATAATTGGCTCTGTGTGTATATTTGCTAGCTTAATGTTTCTAACACTTAATAATTTATCCTTTGCCATTTTTTATTCACAGCCATGGATTGCAAAGACAGACCAGCTTTTCCGGTTAAGAAGTTGATACAAGGTAACACGCTGACACAGTTAAACTTTTATTCTGAATTTGTGTCCTTCATTGTCTCCTGGTGGGATCCACAGTGAAAGCTTTCGGGGGCTGGAGGGAGAATAGTTGCTGCCTCTACAGGTTGATTGTCCCTTATCTAAAACGTGTGGAACTAGCAGTATGTCAAATTTCAGATTCTGTTCTTATTTCGGAATACTTTTATGTATATAATGAGCTCCCGGGGAATGGGATCCAGCTGTTAATAATCACTGTTTCATATATGCCTTATACCCATAGCCTGAAGGTAATCCTACAGTATTTATAATGTGCCTGGGTTTTGATTGTGTCCTGTCACCTGAAGGCGGGAGTGGATTTTTCTTCTTACATGTACTATTGGTGCTCAGAAAACTTTAGATTTTGGAGCTTTTCCAATCAGGGATGCATAACCTGTACCAGGAAGCTGGGAAACCCATTTTGGGTACTGAAGATTGAACCCAGGTGCCCTTTATCACTGAACCGCATGCCTAGTATATGTGTGTGTGTGTGTGTGTGTGTGTGTGTGTGTGTGTGTGTGTGGTGCTGGGGATCAAACTCAGGACCTTGTGCATGCAAGGCAGGAGCTGTATCAACTGAGCTATATCCCCAGCCCCGGAAACCCGTTTTTGTACCTTAGCTTCCCTTGGGAACAATAGTGATCCAAAGGTAGGGTTTCTGTACCTCAGCATTTATGAGGTTTTGTAACTTTCCCCCCTCCCTGGGGGTGCTATTCTGTAGACTGCAGGGGGTTCAGCAGCATCCCTGGCCTCCCAGTAGATAACAGTGGCCTCTAAGTTGTGGTAACCAGAGGCATTGCCAGATGCCCTGGGAGACAAACTGCCCCTATTGAGAACCACTGTTGTACAGGAAGGTTAATGTCCCCAAATCCTTTTGTGTGAAATAGGGAGTGTATTTATCCTTAATCCAGAAGCAGCTGGATTGTATAAACTGGGTTGTTTGTCCAGTTTTCCTGCAGCAGTTTATGTCCTGTGGAAATTGACAGCAGGATTGGTGTTGGTGGGAATTTTGCTGAGGGCATGTGTCCAGAGGGTGAAGACCTAAGGCAAAGCTGTAGAACTGGACAGAATACTTGTTTTAAAAATTGAGAAAGTATACATGATCCCGAATAGGTTGATTTTATTTGCTCTGTTACATTACAAAGTAGTGTTTTTGAAATGCTGGTTTGGCATTTAGGTGGGTGTAGGCTTGTTGGAAAGTCCATTTGATTGAATTTCCTCGCGCTCCTCAGGTGTTGGCTACACATCTCTTACAGCCAGCCCCAGCCAGCCAGGTGCTGGGAAGACAGTTGCTGATGAGGAAATTTGGCAGCCTGGAATGCTGGTACTACAAAGAGAAATCTTTTCATGAGGGTCTGTTTCTGCAAAACCAGAAACAGTTATCTTAATGGGTTTTTTTTTACCCACTGTAAATACATTTGGGTTTTGAACTGGATCTTGATCAGAAAATCTTAAAATTTTGGCAATATCCCTGTTAAAAGATTGTCGCCCCCTGCCCCCGCCTTTTTTTTTTTTTTTTAATGAAGACTTTGGAAAAGTACAGCTGAAGCAATAGTSTCATCCTGTCCCTTCCCCACTCCTTTGGTGTGGTAGGGATGGGGCCCAGTGCCTAGTGCATGCTCTGCGCACACTCTGTCACTCAGCCACACCCCAGCCCTGAGAGCACCATTTTGCGGCACTGGGGATACAACCAGGGCCTTACACACGTTAGGCAAATGGTCTACCACAGAGCTACACCCTTAACCCCCAGAATTCCCCTCTTAAACTTGAAAGTTTCCGCCCAGAGTGCAGCAAGTTTATTTTCTTTGYCCAATTTTTTTATTGATAAGGTGAATAATTTTCAAGCATTCAGAATATTAAAGTATTTATTGTCACTGTACACTTTCACTGAAAGGGCAACCTCTTTCTCTCTTCATTCCAGCCCGTCTGCCATTCAAGCGCCTAAATCTGGTCCCCAAGGAGAAATGCGAGGATGGGTCAGAAGACATTGGAAGCTCCCAGAGTGTTTCTGTGGAAGGGAAAGTCCCCGATTTAGAAACATCTTTGGACAACTTGGAGAACAACTGTCATATGGGTTCTGACCTAGACTTCAGACCAAAACTTGTCAATGGGAAGGGTCCCTTAGATAACCTCATAAGAAATAGAATCAAAACCAGCATTGGCCAGAACATGGTCATTGTGGATTTGACGGAAGACTCCAGCGACCAGCCAGACGGTACTGTGGACCACGATGAAGTTAATCCCGAAGCCTCCCTCTCAAGGGAGACTGCCAGTGGGGTCGGAGAAGGCCCAGGTCAGGGGCCATCAGGGATCATTCACAGCCACGGTCTGGCGACCTTTCCTGCAGAAACCCTTTCAGACATTCCCTGTAAATCAGAAGAGGAGCCTGTTGGCTCTGAAGCCCTGAAGAGGGATGGCAGCTCTCAGGAAGGTGCCCCTCAAAGCTGCTCAGAGCCAACAGGGGGCCCAAGAATGTGCCCCCAGAAGGAGCAGGACAGTTGGAGCGAAGCCGGAGGCATCCTGTTCAGAGGGAAAGTTCCTGTGGTGGTTTTGCAGGATATCTTGGCAGTGGAGCCTCCTCAAGCCAAGCCTCTCAGGACACCCCTGGACAAGAGCCTGGCCTCAGAGAATGAGGCGCTAGAATCCTGCCCTGAGGAAGACTCTGCCCTTAGCCACTCACCCCTGAGCTCCTCATCTACCAGCTCACCTGAGGGGCAGTTGGCTCCTGGAAGACAGCATCGTGGTCCCAGCCCCTCTTCTACCTCCACGCCTGTCCACAGAGTGAGTATCTCCACAGAACCCCAGGTCCTGGTGCTGCCTGGGCCCTACACTGGGTCTTGGGACTTACTAAAGATGCAGAATTCTCTCTGATAGTGAAATCCATGAGTTGTTTGGTTCTGTGTGTGTTGTGGTGGGCTGAGGATGCTATTCAACATGGTGCCCATGTCTTGTGGAACAACCGCTTCAGCCTTTGTCGCCCATACCTGATGGATAGCTGTGTTGGTGAACAAAGCCTGTGGGCAGGTATGCCCTCGCTTCCTACTTGAGTTTTCTTTCCTCCACTCCTTCCTTCGGTCCCAGTGTAGACCTGTAGGGGTGTCTCTGAAGTGGCAGCAAGACAGTGGGCAGATGAAAGGGAAACTAAAATCTGCTCTTGGCAGCAATGCCACCTTCTTAACCTCGTCTGCAGTGACAGGAATAGGAACATGAGGGACCTGTCACCATAGTAAATGACCCAGAAAGGTGACCTTCAAAGAATGTGCTTCTTGCTGGGCACGGTGGCACACGCCTGTAATCTCAGTAGCTCAGGAGGCTGAGTCAGGAGGATTATGCATTAAAAGCAGGGTGCTAAGCAACTTTGTAAGACCCTGTCTGTAAATAGAATAAAATACAAAATATAGCTGGGGATGTGTCTCAGTTGTCGAGTGCCCTTAGTTCAATTCCTGGTACAAAAAAAAAAATGTACTTTTTTAATATTTATTCTAAATTATGGGTGGACACGGCATCTTATTTTACATTTATGTGGTGCCAAGGATCGAACCCAGTGCCTTGTGCATGCTGGGAGAGCACTCTACCACTGAGCCCCACCCAGCCAGACCTTCTTTTTTTTTTTTAATATTTATTATTTGGTTGTAGATGGATACAATACCTTTATTTTATTTTTACGTGGTGCTGAAGATCGAACCTAGGGCCTCACACGTGCTAGGCGAGTGCTCTACCGCTGAGCCACAACCCCAGCCCAAGAATATGTGCTTCTTTAATGCTTTAAGCACACCCATGTGGAAAATGCTTGGGAGAAGGAACATTTTGGATTTGGGAATATTTGCACATATATAATGAGATATCTTTGGGATGGCACCCAAGTTTAGGCACAAAATTCATTTATGCTTTGTGTACACCTGTTTTTTTGTTTTGTTTTCTTTGTGGTGTGGTGCTGGGGAGGGAACCCAGGACTTYAGACATGCTGATCACCGAACCTCATCCAGTCCTTTTTCTGTGCCCTATGCAGTAGCCCAGTCTTTAATACACAACATTCTGAATAGCATTTGTYCCATAGGGTAGAGTATAGAGTCCTCTGCCTGTGGCGTCATGTTGGTGTTCAGAAAGTTTCAGATTTTGGAGGATTTGTGGTTTCAGATTTTTGGATTACGAATGCCCAATCTTTATTATTTCTAATAAAGCACAGTGGTGAATTTCTCAATTTTCTCATTTTTAAGGTCTCAAAGGTCCAGGCACATGGTTGGGGATATAGCTCAGTTGGTGTAGAGTGCTTGCCCCACATGCACAAGGTCCTGGGTTCATTCCCCAGCACCACAAAAAATAAGGAAAAGGGTCCAGGCACAGTTGYATACACCTGTAATCCTAGCATCTTGGGAGGCTAAGGCAGGAGGATTGCAAGTTCAAAGCCAGCCTCAGCAATTTAGTGTGACCTCATCTCAAAATAAATCAAAAAGGGCTGGGGATGTGGCTCAATGGTTAAGTGCCTTTGGATTAAATTCCTTGGTACAAAAATGTAAAAAGGTCTCAAGAGTGAAACTCATAAAAATCAGTCCAGAATCCCAAAATGTATTGTTTGATTTGATTGTACTTTTGTATGTTCACTTTAAATCWTTTTTTAAGTTGTAGTTGGACACAATATCTTTATATTGTTTATTTAGTTTTTTATGTGGAACCCAGTGCTTCCCACGTGCTAGGCAAGTGCTCTACTCTTGAGCTACAACCCCAGCCCCACTTTAGATCTTTATGTGATTGGATCTTAATTTGTACCGGAGATTGAACCCAGGGGTGCTTAACCACTGAGCCACTTCCCCAGCTCTTTTTAAAATTTTTTATTTTGAGAGAGGGACTTGGTAAGTTGCTGAGGCTGACTTTGTATTTGAGATCCTCTTGCCTCAGCCTCCTATTACTGGGATTACAGGCRTGCATTACCCAGATAGGGCAGGAGACTTTCACTTTGAAAAACAATGATCTGGGGACTGCCTTATTTAGAAAATACCAAGCTCTCTGGAAAAGCCAAAGGTTCTTTTTTGTTTTACGACCTTTTACCGTGTAGTTTGTTTGCAATTAGGTGTGAAATTTAGTGTATTTTATTGATGATACAGGATGAATGTTAGGGCAGTCACGGTGCTGGACCCTCTGGCTTGCCTTGGTGTCAAATGAGCCCAGGTTTCAGGTCTTTTCYATGCAGATGAATTTACAGCCAGCTGCATGGCTTGCAGCTTCTGCATCTCTGGGTGAAAAGTCATGCATACGTGTACTGAGCAGCGGTGACTGAAGGTCACTGGGAGGGTATGCACATGATAATGCTATTCTCTATAAGGACATGAACACCTGTGGGGGTTCTGGAATCGGTGGACATGGGGAAGGGGGCGTGACCGATGCACTGGTTACATTTCATCATTGCACCTTGACCTCGGGACCTCCTGCTGGATCTGCCCTGGGGTTGCCTCTTGCCATTTTCTGATCCTCTGCATGGGAGAGATCCCTCAGAAATACACAGTAACCTTTTGTTTCCTCATGAGAGATATGTGTCACTCATCCTTGGAGAGATATGTGTCACTCATCCTTGGAGGAGAAGTCGTCTTTTAACTGCTCTGTTCTTGCCGTGGTGTGGAAGGGTGGCTGCTGCTGCTGCTGCCGTCCTCACTGGCGGGGGGCTTCTGCGGCCTCTGTGCTGTGCCATGGCAACATGATAACCCTCTGCGCCACCTTGGGCTGCTGAGAGACTGAGCACTTGCCAGCTCATAGGGGCGCGTGCGTTCCTTGTTGCCTGCCTGACGTAGGTTGGACTGCTCTGGGGCTGTCACCTCCCTGCCTTGGCTCCCCTGCTGTTGAGTTTCTCTCTCCTGCACCTAGAAAATTCTGGTCCTTGAGAAAATGTCAGAACCCGGCCTGGGGATGTGGCTCAAGCAGTAGCACGCTCGCCTGGCATGTGTGCGGCCCGGGTTGGATCCTCAGCACCACATACCAACAAAGATGTTGTGTCTGCCGAGAACTAAAAAATAAATATTAAAAAAAATTCTCTCTCTCCTCTCTCACTCTCTCTTTAAAAAAAAAAAAAAAAGAATTCATGAGATTAAATTCTTTAAAAAAAAAAAAAAAGAAAATGTCAGAACCACTGGGTCTGGAGAGGCTTTGCGGGTGCTTTACTACCCAGACTCAGTGGGGTCCATCTTGCAGAGAGCATGGTTGGGTTTGTGCTTGAACTTCCTCCTAGGATCCTGGGTCAGGCCTTGGCTGGATAGTTGCTGTCTGGCCAAGCTCAGGTGGGCAGCATGTGTCAGAATCATGTGTAATTTAGAGTGAGCTCTATCAACACCAGATCCTATTTGAGGACGGTAGTGTTGTATCAGACAAGAAGGTCCATGCACATTTAGGGAAGCAGTGGCAGTGCCAGTCTGGAACCAGGTGGCGGTTGCTGGGGCCCTTGGATATTCCAAGCCTGAGCCTGCTGTCACGTGAACCTGCTCCTCCTGGGGACCCAGTGCTTGAAGACTGGTGGCAAAGAGAAACCTCCTGCAAGGCTGTAGACTCTAGATGAGGCTGAGTAAGTCTGGGCACAGCTCGGTGAGTGTGTGTCCCCTCCAGTCCCCTCATCTAAGAAGCTGGCTCTCATTGTGCACTGGACCCTCCCAACACAAAGGGCAGCAACAGAGATGCCGCCGCTCACACTTTCTGTTAGGCCCTTTAGTGTGGAGGTGAAGCCCACAGACTCSGCAGACCAAGCGCGTTCTGGACAGATGCCTTTCCATCAGCGTTTGTTGAGACTCACCCAGCGGACGCTGAGCTCACCTCCCATGTACTGTGGGACCCAGGAGCTAAGGCCGTCTCCTGGGTTGTGTCTGATTCCATGCGTGGTCCTTGGCAGAGGTTCAGATTTTCTAGATAAAGATGTCACTTCAAGGGACTGGGGACGTGGCTCAAGCGGTAATGCGCTGGCCTGGCATGCGTGGGGCGCTGGGTTCAATCCTCAGCACCACATACAAATTAAAAAAAAAAAAAAAGATGTCACTTGAACACAGCCTTGTGCGCCTGTTGGAGCCTCTCCAGGCTTATGGGCCTTTTCTTTTTCAGCCTCCTCTGCGAGTTTGAATGGAACCTGGAGAGTTATTTCTCCCCACCGTGCTTGGTTTTAATCGTCTGTCCGGGAAACCTGGTGGGAGGTGCGTGGGCCAGTAGTGTGAACTCTTATTCCAGATATTCGAGTGGAGTCCCCTTGTCTTGGCTGTGCATGTAGCCTCCTTTCAAGGTGGTAGAGACTTTTGTGCCTAAGAGTCTAGGGCTCTGGACCAGATCTCCACCCCTGAAGCTGACTGTTTTCTGAGAAGCAGAGTTGAGTTGTGGCTCCATGGTTAGCACTTGCCTGGCAGGTGTGAAGCCCCCAGTTTCATCCCCACCACACACACAAAGGCAGAGTATCCATCAGAGGCCTACACAAGTCCAAGCTGCAAATATGTTTTATTTACTTGAAGTAGTACCAATTTTTAGACATTATGTTAAAAATTTGCATGTTCCCTGGCTGGGGATGAGGCTCAGTTGGTAGAGTGCTTCCCTCGCGTGCACAAGGCCCTGGGTTCAATCCCCAGCATGATTCAGGTGTCAGCTCCTCCTGGGAGTCAGTGGCTCTTGGCTCAGGTTCCAATAAGAGCTCATCCCTTGGGAGTGACAGGTCCTATCTCCTTTGCTACAGGTCCCTCTACGCCTTTTTTGCCTGTGGCTTTTATTTTTGAGCTTGCCTCTGGTTTCTCCTGCACTCAGCGCCTTCAGTCCTTCCTTTATCTGCCTCCCCACCCTCCCCCTTATCTAGTCCCAGGTACACGCAGGTACATGCACATTTATTGGAGTCTGTGACAYCCTGGTGACATCTTGGTTCTCTTGGTAGGAACATGGGTGGCTGTGAAAGGATGAAGTGTATCCTCTTTTGCAAAGACATTCTTAATAGTGGTGCCCTCCTAGTTGCTCCATCTGTTTCCCCCAGGGACTTCAGGGAAGGTGTCTATTGGGAAAAGTGATTCAAACAATCCCTGCTTAAAAATAAATCTCCTGGGCTGGGCGTTCCCTTACCTAGCATGAGGCCCTGGGTTTCATCCCCAGTCCTGCAAAAAAGAAAACAAATGTCTTTCTATTTCAGATAACCAAGAAATTCGTCAAAGGGTCCACAGAGAAGAACAGGATGAGACTGCAAAGAGTAAGGCGCTTTCCCTGCAGGAGAGCACAGTCCCATGTGCCTGCTGTGCCTGTTGGCCTTGTCACCAGCAGAGCCCTTTGCTCCTCCCTTGTCCCATTTTCGCCTTCCCTGACCATCGGGTGATGTTGTGGACGTTGTAGCTTGTGGGTTGCATCACTTTTTGCTAAATCCTAGGGTTTTGCACACCGCCTCTTCCTAGCCTAGGAGTAGGGGTGGTAGTCCTCTGCCTCAGTAGCTGGCCACTCACAAGCCTGGGCGTGGCTTGGTGGTAGAACCTTGTTCAGCAGGTGTGTGGCCCTGGGCTCCACCCCTAGCACCAGAAGGAACCTGATCCCTGCAGCCCTGTCTCTTCAGAGGAATTTTAGTCCCTACACTAGAAGAGTGAGGGGCTGGGGCTATAGCTCAGTTGGTAGAGTGCTTGCCTTGCATTCACAATCCTAGCACCACCAAAAAATAATAATAATAATAATAATACACTAGAGGAGTGATAATTGTTAGTGGCTCCCTGTCCAGCTTTGCTTCTGTTAATGGGTTTCTCCATGTTCGGGTGTGTGCGTATGTGTGTTACTGGGGATTGAACCTAGGTATACTTTGCTACTAACTTATGCAGCCCTTATTTTATTTTGGGTTGGGGTCTTGCTGACTTGCTGAGGTTGTCCTTGAACCTGCCATCCTCGGGCCTCAACCTCCTGAGTCACTAAGATGACAGGCGGGTGCCACTATACCCAGCTCATTTGGTTCTTATTATGCCAGAGTTCAGAGACAGCCACTGAGGTACCCCATCCCCTGCGGCTTAGGCAAGGGGCCCTTTCAGCAGTTGGCTCTCAGTTCCCCAGGGTTTCCTGGGCCTCGTTACAGCTGCGCTCAGGTTTTTTGTACTGGGTATTTAAGCCACATGCTAAGCTCGTGCTCTACCTCTTAGCTGCACCCCAGCCCTATCTTCTTATTGGAATTTCGAGTCTCTCCATAAATGTCAAGAAACAGCCTCAGGTATAGCTAAAGACATGTGCTTTACCTGGGATTTCAAGCCTTGGCTTCCTTATTTAGCACCTGGGAGCGGTCCTCCCCATCCTGCCATTGTGCCCGTGGTCTTATCTGGGACAGACCTGTCCCCTTTCTTGGGCATCTTTCATCTCCTGTGGTGCTGCATAGGATTCTTGACAAGAAATAGACACTCAACACCCTGTCAACGTGATTGGAGGTCCATCAAGGCAGGGTCAGCGTGTTTCTTCATGTGTGGGCGGACAGGCGCTTCACAGCCGAAAGCTTGGTCCTGTGGAGATGATCTTGGCTGTCCAAGAAGGACGCGTCCACCCTCGGCCAGTCAGGTGGCTTGTCGAGGGTAATGTGGGGATTGTAGTCAGCCAGTGCCTTGAGCCACAGGCCACTCTGCAGAACAAAGCACCGTGAAGTGAAGCCCACCCTCCGTGGAAAGCCTCAGGGACACTGGTCGTTGAAGCCCCCAGTACCATTGACACTGCCCCAGCCATTGAGCTTACTCTGTCCTTTCTTCACATGAAAGATGGGTTTAAGTTTTAGTTAGATTTTTATTTTACTTTGTTTCTAGTTTACTCTCACCTGGTAAGACTCGCTCATGGGTCTCCTGGCCTTGTCTCATCCCAGTCTTCATTGTCGCTCTGTGGTTTTGGGGTGGCAGGTGGGGGCTGTTTGTTTTGAAGGTAGGAGACGGAGCCTGGGTGTTCCTGTTCATTTTGACACACTTTTCTGATTGAATACACAGTTGGCATTTAATAGAGGAGCCGGGCGTGGGGCGCCGTGTCCTGGCTTTTGGTGTGTGTGCTGTGAGAATCAAACCCCGAGGCCCTGCCCAGGCCAGGCAAGCGCCCTACCACAGCTTCGCCTCAGCCCCTATTGATTTTTTTTTTTTTTTTAATCTTTGTTTTATTTATTTATTTTTATGTGAACCCAGGGCCTCGCAGGTGCCAGGCGAGCGCTTTACCGCTCAGCCCCAGCCCCCCTATTTATAAGTGCTCCATTTTTGTTTCGTGAGAGACAGGCTCTCGCCACGTTGCCCAGCTGGCCTGRAACTTGCAGTCCTCCTGCCTCGGCCTCCAGCTGGAAAGCAGCGTGGCCACCACGCCTTGCGGTGCCCATATTTAAAATCATTTTAAATGAATCTTCCGTTGCACCACCCCCAAGGCGCTGGGATGAAGGACTGGTGTCATGGCGTGTTTTATGAGGGCACGAGACGTGGTGGCCTCTGGAGACGCAGAGGCCTCTGGAGCTGCTCCTCGTGCTTCCCCTCAGGGAGGGCCCAAGGACCAACTGTGGTTGTCCCCCAGGATAAAGAGCAGTTGAGGGAAGAGAAGGAGAAGCTGAAAGAAGAGGCCCGGCGGGCCAAGGAGGAGGCCAGGAGGAAGAAGGAGGAGGAGAAGGAGCTGAAGGAGAAGGAGCGGCGCGAGAAGCGGGAGAAGGACGAGAAGGAGAGGGCGGAAAAGCAGCGGCTCAAGGAGGAGAGGCGCAAGGAGCGGCAGGAGGCTCTCGAGTGAGTGCCCTCCCGAGGGCACCCTGCCCCGTGCAGGCCGCACCTCTGAGCCAAGGCGGAGGCCTCCACGGGCTTCCCACTTGTTACTGCACTGGGGGGACCGGCCTCCTGCCCCCCTCCACCTGGAACAGCTGCCACCCAGGGGCTCCTGGGGCATGCGGGTGGGTGGGCTTTCCCGCTGGCTGGGCTGCCTTCTGTTCCCGCCAGTTCCCTGTCCAGCGTCGTCAGTTTTCTTGGTTGACCCTGTACCCCGGCTTTGTGGAAGATTTGAGCAGTTGGTGATTGGTGGGTGTAGACTGTGGTATTAACCGCCGAGTGCCACAGTCCCTGCCAGCAGCCAAAACCTGAACTGTGGCTTGCTGTCTCACAGGGCTAAACTCGAAGAGAAGAGGAAAAAGGAGGAAGAGAAACGGTTACGGGAAGAAGAGAAGGTAGCGTGCTGCCCCCTGCCTCTCAGCTTTTGAGGCCGCGTGTTGGAAATGCCCTCTCTGCCCCCGCTACGCCTTGAGCGTTCCGGGCAGCTTGGTGACACCCATGTGGACCAAGTAGCCTGTTCAAATGCCACTGGTGTCACCGGCTCTCCATGCTGGCTTTCCACGCTCCTGCTGGCCGGGCATCTTGACAGGACTTGGGCCTTCGAGGGTAGCTGCCATTCTGAGACTGGCCGCACTCCCTATGTTGTGGGCTGATGGGTTTGTGGGCTACAGTCTCGTGGCCCTTTGCTCGGGAGTACTTGGGACTCGGTTGTGCCCTGAACACAGTGTTTCTCCACCCCACCCCATCCCTGTCTCTTCATAGCGCATTAAGGCAGAGAAGGCTGAGATCACGAGGTTCTTTCAGAAGCCAAAGACTCCACAGGCCCCCAAGGTGAGCAGCACCCCCTCCCTGGCTCCTCATGTCCTTCTAGAAATGAAGAGGGGTCTGCTGAAGACGGGGCCTTCGCTTACCCAGGGGCACCTTCATTTCTGCTGGTGTCTGCAGGTTTGATATCTGGTCATTCATTTCATCCCCAAAACAGAAATGTGCGTGCCTGGTACAGTGCAGAGCCGACAGAGCTTGCCTGTGAGTGGGAGTCGGGTGCTCAACACGGGCACAGCGTGGAGCTGCCCCAGCCTGCTGGGGCCAGACCTCCGCTCCGGGCTGCAGTGCACCTGGCCCTCTTCTCAAGGGAGCTACCGGGTGCTGTGCTGTGTGTTCACACCCTGTGCACACGAGTGTGTACTTGAGGGTTGTTCTGAGTTGGTCTTGGTCTCTGTGTGTTCAGCCATGGTCTCAGGTTCTTGCCGTGGTACATTTTACATCTGTTTGATTCCTTTTTTTCAATTTTTAACTTTTCGTTCCAGGGGTTGAATCCAGGTGTCTTCCACTGAGCCACATCCCCATCCCTTTTTATTCCAGGCTTACCTGGAACTTGGCCACCCTCTGCCTCAGCCTCTTGGGTCCCCGGGATGACAGGTGTCCTATCATTCTGGCCATTTTTAAACATGTACTTCCTTGGCCTGGAGTGGCTGAATTCCAGGTGGTTGGCCTGAGGCTCTGTGGGTGCGCGTGCTGTGGCTACACCCGCTTGGTCCACCTGTTGTCTGCACGTTGCCCAGTGCAGTGGTGCCACAGCCCACCGGCAGCATTTCCTCCTCACGCACACCGTGCTCCTCTGCATGTCCTGCTGCATGCAGACCCCATGTTTGCTCACACGAGGGTGGCCCCTGAACCGGGTTGGCCAGAGGAATCCGATCTCCCAGAGTTCACACTTGGATGAGACGGAGCAGCTGCAGGGTGTTCCCAGTTCCAGGCAGTTTGCAGTATGGCGTGGCTCTCCTGGGCCCTGGGAGGGGAAGGGGTGGCCCACCAGACCCACTTCTGCCTCTGTCTCAGGTCACCTGTGTCTGTCCATCCATCTATTGAGGGGTAGCTTACACACGGTAAAATTTACACTTTGGGAGATGTTTGGTTAGTTTTGACAGGTGGTAGAGGCCTTGTAACTGTCTCCCTGGTCAAGGCCTAGAAACTGTCCACCAGTCACTGCAGACCGCCTCTGGTTCCTCCTCCCGGCTCATGAGCCACAGGATGGACAACCCTGCGGCTTTGCCTTTTTCAGGATTCCATGCCGACGAACTTGGCGGTATTTCTGCTTTTGGATGTGTCCTTTGACAGTGGCCCGTTGTGGAGCCAGCAGGCTCTGCCTGTGTCCACCGCACATTTTCTCCATTGATGAGTGTCTTCATTTTCTACTCAGTGTCCCATTGGGTCACTCTTTTTCAGACCCTGGCTGGTTCCTGTGGAAAGTTTGCCCCCTTTGAAATTAAAGAGCACATGGTCCTTGCCCCCCGCTGTCGGGCCACCTTCAACCAAGACCACTGCCATCAGCTGGACCAGCTCCTCCAGCAGCAGAGTGGAGATAGCTCCTTCTTGAAAGAGCTAAAAGGCCGCCAGCCCCTCAGGTCCGGACCCACCAGGCTCTGCAGCCGGGACACAGATGTTTTCAACAGGTAGAGCCTGAGGACACCGTCCTCTTCCCAGCCACCTGCCTGCCTTTGAACCCTGCCATCTCATTGTCCCCACTTTGCCGGGTGGGCTCCTGTTTCCAGCCTCTGCAGCAGAGGGTGGCCCCGTGCTCCTGCTGGGCTTCCTAGTCCATAGCCCTGTGCTGGTACCTGCCATGGGGGCATCCCGCCGTGTGCTGCTCCCTGTGCGTGAGCCGGGCAGTGCTGCTGTTCAGCTTTAACCTGTGCGCCTGTCCTTCGGTGGGTCCTGGGGTGCGGGAGGTGGGGAGCCAGTGGCAGACGAAGCAAACTGGATGCCTTCATTTGCCAGTGACATAGTGATCGTGGGCAGCAGCAAGGTGACTGGCATTCCTGAGCGGAGGAAGTTTGGCCGGATGAAGCTCCTGCAATTTTCTGAGAATCACCGGCCAGCATACTGGGGGACGTGGAATAAGAAGACAGTGGTCATCCACCCGCGGAACCCTTGGGCCCAGGACAAGGTAGGGGCTCTCAGGTGCCCAGGCCCACATGTCCTGCTGCATGCAGACCCCATGTTTGCTCACTTCTTGGCCATGCCCTTTCTCCCACCTGTCAACGACAGTGACACCCTATGTCTCTTGGCAGGCGCTGCTCGACTATGAGGTGGACAGCGATGACGAGTGGGAAGAGGAGGAGCCTGGGGAGTCCCTGTCCCACAGTGAAGGGGTGAGGGCAGGTCTGAGCACAGAGCGGCCCCTGCAGCCAGGTCTGAGACCCAGGCCTGGCCCGTGCTAGGCAGGTGCTCTGACGCTGAACCTCACCTCAGCCTGGCAAAGCCAGCCTGGGCCTCGCTTCTCCTATGGAGGTGCTTCCTGTGCCGGTGGCATTGGAGGCAGCTGGCCCGGGGCCTGGCCTTACTCTGGGCTCCACTGCCTCCTCCTGCCAGCTGTGCTGCCCGAGTCTGGTAGCCTGACTTCCAGCCACCATGACCCCATGGGATTCCCACTGACCCCATGCTATCTGTAGGAGTGACCCTCAGTGTGGATGGAACCCGGGCCTCTCAGGCTGGATGAGAGCCCTGGCCTGGATTTGAGTTTTAGTGACACCCACGTTGTTTCCTACCTGACAACTTATTCATTTTTTCTCTTTGAGGACGATGATGATGAGGTTGGAGAGGATGAAGATGAGGATGATGGCTTCTTCGTGCCCCATGGATACCTGTCTGAGGACGAAGGCGTGACTGAGGTAAAGGGTGAAGGAGGAAGTGACTGGCTCAGAAGTTCGCCCAGGGGCTGGTGACGTGGTCATGCCTGCCCTGGCCACTGGACTACCTGCTCCACTGTAGCTGCAGGTGGGTCCTCAGCCTGGGCTTGTTGGAGGTGGCTGGACCTGGACCTGGACCTGGTTTTGCCTGGGAGGCAGCAGAGTGTGTGGAAGATTCCAGCTATGGGGCTCTCCTGGCAGATCCCTGAGGACTGGGCAGCCATGGTGGGGACTCAGAGGGTCCCAAACGTGCTCGGCTGGAGAGTGACTGCGCAGCACCACCTGTGGTCCCCAGTAGTCCCAGCATTCAGTCTCTTGGGCTCAGGGTGCACTGCGTTCTTGAAACTACTCCCAGGGTGTGGAGAACATAGGACCCCATGACCAGCGGTCCCTCGTGCCTCCAGGTTGCCACCCTGCCACCACTCACCAAAACCTGCAAGATGAGCAGCMGTGCAGAAGCCACTCTGGGGCTCTACGTCATCTGCCATGTCGCAGCAGTGGAAGGGAGGGCTGCCTTCCTGTGTCCTGGTGTGCCGCCAGACGTCTGCCACTTAGAGGATGGTCTAGGTCTGGCAGGTGGCAATTTGGGGTTGGTGGTGGTCACACACTGACCAGGAAGGCAGCTGGGCAGTAAGTTGCCTGCAGGGCAGGATCGTAGCAAGGTCATAGCAGCATCTGACTCGCCTCCAGCTGTCGAATGTCTGGAAATGCCCTGCCATGCCTCCTTCCCGAGGGCTGGGGGTCGGCTCTGAGGCAACATCCTCCCCACTGGGCCTGGCTCTGTGAGTGGCTCCTGGCCAGGGCCTGGGTGGAGGGCGGTGGGAGCCCCCAGCAACTGTGCTTTCCTCCTGCAAGGAGTGCACGGACCCTGAGAACTACAAGGTGCGTCAGAAGCTGAAGGCCAAGGAGTGGGACGAGTACTTGGCCAAGGGGAAGCGGTTCCGTGTCCTCCAGCCCGTGATGATTGGCTGCGTGTGGGCGGCCGACAGGGACAGCTGCTCGGTCGCCGAGCTGAAGGTGCTGCAGCAGTTCACAGYCTGCCTTCTGGATACGGCGCCCTCGGAAGAGGAGCAGGCACCCAGGGCCTCCAAGAAGGAGAGGAGGGACCAGCAGAGTAAGTGGGGTCTGCTCCTGGGCAAGGCCGGCCTCATCTGCCTGTCCTAGCTGACTGTCCTCCGGGCTGRGGAGGGGACCCAGGCCAGGTGTAGGCTCATGCTCTGCCTCTCTGCACCTCAGCCCCATCTTGTCCTTGGTGACTTTAGTCATTGTCCTGGGCATAGCTTGGAGCGCTGAGGAGTGGGAGGCCACTTGTGTCTCCAGGGCACGTCCCGACTCTGCCTCCTGGCTTTTCAGAAGCCAGGGGCACGGTGCTGAAGGAGCACGCAGGCGGCAGGCCCGAGCTRCCTGGGCGGCGCTGCTCTCCCAGGGAATAGGTGCACGGCCCTGCCTTGGGTCTGCTCTCCAGAGGCCCCGGCGGCCGAACCTGCACCTTGCAGACAGTTGAGGACCTCTGTGGCCGTGTCGGGCTCTGTCTGGGTGCACATTCTATCTGACCCACACCCCGTCCCCTGTCCCACCAGTCCTGGCCCAGCTGCTCCCGCTGCTACATGGCAACGTAAACGGGAGCAAGGTGATCATCCGGGAGTTCCAGGAGCACTGCCGACGGGGACTGCTCAGCAGTGACGGGGGTAGCCCCCCCAGCCCTGCCTCCCGCCCGCAGACCCCCACTGCCACCAGCGAGGACGCCGCTGTGCCCTCCAAGGCCAGGCTGAAGCGGATTATTTCTGAGAACTCGGTGTACGAGAAGAGGCCGGACTACAGGATGTGCTGGTACGTCCACCCGCAGGTGCTGAAGAGCTTCGACCAAGAGCACCTCCCCGTGCCGTGCCAGTGGAGCTACGTCACCATGGTGCCCTCGGCCCCCAGGGAGGACAGTGGCAGCGCCCCTGCTGCAGGGCCCAGCCAGGGACCGCCCGTCCTGCTGAAGAGGAAGGCTGCGGGGAGCATGTGCATCACGCAGTTCATGAAGAAGCGCCGGCATGACGGGCAGGTGAGCTGCCCCGGCTGCAGGAGCGGAGCCTGCGGGGCAGCGGGCCCTGCGGTTCCTGCCTTCTTCTGTGTTCTGGTGCTAGGGATCCACCCCAGGGGCATGTGACCACTGAGCCGCATCCCAGACCTTTTGAGAGACAGGATCTTGCTGAGTTGCTTAGGGCCTGGGTTCCTGCCCAACCATGGCAGCCTGATCAGTGTTCAGTGTGTCCTTTGTCATGAACTGTGGCGTTGCCCTGTGGGCACCCACTCCTGAGACCAGCGTCCTGTGCACTGAGACGGAGGTAGCAGTCCCCCCACTCAGGGAGTGGTGCTGCGTGGGTGGCAGCTGGGTGGGGAAGGGGAGGGGAGGGAGCGCAGACCCCCGCTTATGTCTGCTTCACACGTGAAAGACTGTAGGGGCGGAGGCCAGGTGAGGACCTGGATACCTTGAAAGCAAGGGGACCTCTGGGAACTCCCAAGAGGATCTGGTGTCATTGCTGTGGCTATTCCTGTCAGCCCCAGAGTCTCTGACCTCATGTGGTTTGTATGCAGAGCTCCCCTCAGGAAGTGCCACTTGACATTGTGGAGGACCCGCAAATCCTTCCCTAAAACAGGAAGTGCTGGTTGGTCTGTCGTCGGTGTAAGCTGTGCCTGAGGAGCAGAGTCCCCTCTGGTTGTTCCTCCCAGGCCATCTGAGAAGGAACCCAGGTTTGGTTGCCTGGCACAAAACTAGCTGGGGAACCAACTGTCCCAGGTTGAGACTGGCCAGGGCCCAAAGACACCCTTCTGTTGGTGTCACTTTCCAAGCAGCTGTGTTGGCCTTTGCCCCCATCTGCCCTCCCTGGGGACCCTTAGTGCCCAGTGCTCTATCAGGCCTCCTGTCCCCAGGCAGCATGTCCCCCACCTTGTTAGACATAGCTGTTTTCCCCCTCTCTCGGGCTGGCCCACGTCCCTCAATGTGGAGGACAGTGGCTCAGGCACGCGAGCAGCATTGGATGGAGCCTGGTGTGGGGATCTGCGTTGCATGGGCAGTGTGGTGCTTCGTTATTTTATCCAACCTCCAACAAAGAGAAGGTGGCGGTCAGAAGGGTTGGCATGTGACACGTTGCAGGTGGGTCTCAGGAGTGGTGATACCTGGCGTCTTGTCTGCAGCAGCCTCAAGTAATCAGCAAGGTCTCCACCCCTCCCACATGAGGCTCCTCCAGGCTTGGCAGCACAGGGGGTCTGGCTGAAGACCCTGCAGTGCAGCCCAGGCCAGACCCAGCTTAGCCTGTGCCCCACAGTTCTGCCTCAGCAGGCCCCAGGGCTTCCTGAAGTCTGCATTTGTAAGGTACCCCCCACCCCACCCCCAGAAACTGATGGGAAGAGAAGTGGGTGCATCACACCAGGAGGCACATAGCACCTGGCTCCCCAGTGTGTCCTGAGAGCTGGGCCAGCCTCCTGCCATGTTCAGCTCCCTCCTCGTRTTCTTCTTCCTTTTTACACAGTACTGGGGTCGGAGCCCAGGGGCACTCTGCCCCTGAATCATATCCCAGCYCTTTTAAATTTTATTATGAGACAGCGTCTTGCTAAGTTGCCCAGGGTGGCCTTGAACTTGCCATCTTGGCTCCTCTGTTGCTGAGATTACCAACACGGACGTGCCACTGCACCAGGCCTTTCTTCCAGCTCTTCGTCATTGGTCACCTCCCTCTGGGGAGGCTGGAAGGGTGGAAAGGGGCAGTTTCGTGTTTTTTCTGAGGTGTTTTCTGAGTCCCCAGGACTGTGTGCATGCTGGGCGCTGAGCCCCTCCCCAGCCCTCAGAGTGCTCTTTAGCTGCCAGAGTCTGAGGAAAGGAGACCCTGACTCCCAGAAGGCAGTCCTGGGTAGGAACTGAGCAGCTCTGAGTGCACAGAGGCCGCCGGTGGCTGCAGACGCTGGGTACCCCAGTCCTGCCTCCTTGGGGAGGACAGTTTCAAGACCCTAGGTGGCATGTGTATAGAGCTTAAGTTGGGGTCTTCATTCCCGGGGCTGTAAATGGCCTCCCTAGAGCTCAGAGTAGTGTGACATTTGGCCTYGGACAGTAGGGCTGCACTGGGCCTCCAGGCCCTCCTCAAGGGCCTCTGGCTCTAGGGTGCTTCAACTATTTGGGCCTCAGTTCTATTTTTAAAAGTGTAGGGCTGGGACTCTGGCTCAGCGGTAGAGCACTCGCCTAGCATGTGTAAGGCCCTGGATTCGACCCTCAGTACACATAAAAATCAATCAATAAATAGAGGTACTGTATGCAACTACAGCTAAAAAATAAGTATTTAAAAAATGTTTAAATAGGGGCTAGGGATACAGCTCAGCTGGTAGAGGGCCTGCCTCACACACAAGGCCSTGGGTTCAGCACCCCATAAACAAGATTACATAGAGGGTCTACTTGCCCTGCAGCCAGGTAGCCCCTGTGACGTGCACCTGGAGCCCCAGCTGCTGGGAGGCTCAAGCGGGAAGAAAGCTTGAGCCCAGTTCAAGGCCAGCCTGGGCAGCAGAGTGAGACCCTGTCTCAAAAATAAAAGGCAAAGAACAGCAGGCGTTGGCTCCTGTTTCCCTGGCCACTGCGGTCAGTGCTGGTGATGGTGGTGGTCGGCCAGCTCCTGGCTGAGGGACTCGTGGTCCCTGTCCCTTGCTTGGGCCCCAGGGGCAGGGTGCTGGTTCCTCTGAACATTYTGGATCTGAAGAAAGCCTTGCTCGCCCCACCTGCTCTTCCCTGTGTGAGAGCAGCAGTGCTGCAGGCGGTCTGGGGAGGTGGGCCTGTCCAGTCGGTGCTGGCGGCAGGAGGCCATAGGGCTGTGCTTTGGGCCAGCCGGCAGGGAAGCCAGGAAAGCACCTTGCACGACTGACCCCCTCGGGGCTGTCACTCTTCCAGGCAGGTTTTTACAAAAGAGGAATTCAGAAGTGTCTCGGAACGGCCTCCCAGTTGGTGTGAAGCTGCCCCCGCTGGAGTGGGACCCTTGGTCACTCATGTTGCCTGAGTGCTTGTTCTCCTTGGGCAAAAGCCGAGGGCTCGAGCTTCTCTGGGTAGCGGCCCCTGCTCCATAGTCTGGGGCACTCCCACCGGCAGAGCTGGTCTAGCATAACGCAGGTGGGGGCTGCGAGGCCAGGCCGAGGGAGCAGAGTGCCCGAGACCAGAGACGGCAGCAGAGAGTGCAGGCCGGCTCAGGTCCGGAAGTGGGAGCTTGTCGACCTCTCTCTCAACCCAAACTGGAAACCTTTTGTGGGGGAAGGTACCAGGGATTGAACTCCGGGGCATTCAACCATTGAGCCACACCCCAAGCCCTATTTTGTATTTTAGAGACGGGGTCTTACCAAGTTGCTTAGCACCTCACTTTTGCTGAGGAACTCACTGTCCTCCTGGGATTACAGGCATGTGCCTGGCTCAACCCAAAACAGAAACCATTTTTGTCCTAAGGCAGATAATGATGGTAGTTGTCAGCGATCTGACTTCAGCGCATTTAGAGAACCCCAGGATTTTCTTCAGCCACAGGTTCTCGGACAAACCATCAGGTTTAAAGAAGTTGTTGCCAGTTGCTGGGGGCCTTAGCGGGTGTGCACATGCAGGCAGGGAGGGGGGCTACCGATGCCCACCACATATGTGGCATGTGGGCTCCTCTCCCTGCTGATGGTCTGTGTGCCCTGTCTGTCCAGGTTGGAGCCGGGGATGTGGATGGCTTCCAGGCAGACACGGAGGAGGAGGAGGAGGAGGAAGACGGCGACTGCATGATCATGGATATCCCGGATGTTGGGGGTGAGAAGGGTTCCAACCCTCTGCATCTCATTCAGATCGATAGGAAAGGGGAGAGCCATCCAGGCAGAGGGACGTGCAAAGGTTCTGAAGCGGGAATGGCTGAGCGGGAGGAGTGAGTGCAGGGTGAGGACAGGGGCTGAGCCTGGCTGTCCGCCACTCCGAGTGAGGGGGTAGCTGGGACAGAGCCTGGGTGGGAGAGGACAGTATCTGACAGAGCAGGTGAGTGGGTCTACAGCTTTGGGGTGCCCCAGTGGTGACCTGAGCCTCCACTGGCTGCAGGGGTGGTGGCTCCTCACAGGGAGCCCCGTGGGTACAGCCAGCCACACACCCCTCCTTCTCACACCCTGCAGAGGCCCAGGACCCGTGTGGACCCACTTCTGGAGCCGAGGAAGTAGTGAGAATGGACGTTAGCGAGAACCCACTGCCTGCCAGCCCACTCTGTGCCTCCTGAGCATCCCAACGGCCTGGCTGGCTGGGGCTTGTGTAGGGCGGTCAGGGGCCTCCACACGACGGATACTTGAGCGTACTACCGATTCCTGTGTAAAGAGCACTTTGTCCTGCTTTGCAGACCTCCCAGGTCTGAAGAGTCTGTACAGGATGCCTGATTAGTTCTTGACGTTTGTGAAAATCGTCCCAAAAAGTTGCATATTAATCTGCCCTTGAATAAAGCATTATGAGGCGATGACATGCAGGTGCGTGCCCGCCCCTCAAGCTCCAGAGCAGGGGCAGGGCTCGATGCTTGGAAATGAACTCAAGCAAAGCACCAGAGGCACCCGTGGCCCAGCAGCACGGGCACCTGGACTGTGTGGACGTGTATAAACTTATTCTCTACCCTGAGCCGCCTTGTCTCTGAGCAGGTCCGCCCGTCCCTCCGCCCAGCATCTGAAAGCACCAACCATTCTGTTGGCCACTAAGTCCTTGTCCTCCTGGCTGACTAGTCCAGGCACCTGCTTCTCCCAGTTCCTCTTCCTGCCCTTCAGGTGTGAGGAGGGGTCCCACTCCCCACCAGGGCACTCAGAAGCCAGTGTTGTGCRTCCCAGAGCAGGGAGGGAACGAGGGAGCCCTGTGCTCGGGGCTGTGGTGACTGACAGCAGTGGGGGAAGCCAAGGGCTGGGCACTTCCTGTCCAAACCTAGACCCAGAAAGGGCCCTCCTGTTGTTCCTGCCCTTGGGTCTAGCCATGTCCCCTGCAGAGTGGCTTGGCACTGACTGGACAGCCCACATGAGGTGGCCATCTCCATCCTCACCCTGACTTGCTCCCCCTGGCCCCCCATGGGTGTGGTGACAGATGCCCCAGGTGCAGGGTGAGGGCTCTGACCTTAGCCTGGCCAGTAGGCTGGGCTCATCCCCAGGTCTGGGCTGCAGGCCCTCCTGCTTCCAGCAGAGCCTATGTCTACGTGGCTCTCAGGCAATGTTCCTGGAGTAAGCAGGGGACGTGCGTCAGAGTCGAGTCGGCCTTGATCCTCAGAAACCCACATTGGGCAGCTCTAGAGGCTCAGGTGTGACAAAAAGTCATGGTGGGCTCCTGGTTGTGGGAACTAGAAGGGACATATTTTTGCTAGTTTCTGTAAGGGACAAGGAAACTCACGTGGGGTCTCAAGCTTCAAGTCTGACTCATGCAGCTGGTGGTAGCCAGATGACCAGTCACCACAGGCCCCCACTGGAGTAGGCTAGATGGTCACAGCCTGGTGCCTGTGATAACCCACCGTGTCTGGGGTGGCGGGTCCACGGCTTCAGTGCTGCCTGGCTGCAGAGATGGTGCCCATGTGTCAGCCACAGGACCAGGGCCTTCAACACTAAGGCCTTGTCCAGGCTCCTGTGGCTGCTGTAGCACATCACCGCACCTGGTGGCTTAAAACAGCACAGATTCATCTTCTCACAGTTGTCAAGGCTGCAGTCGCTCGTGGTTCCCCAGGTGGACCCAGGAACAGCAGGGCTGGGCCTGAGGAGGCCCTGCAGCCCTGGGYGCCCAGCCCTTCCTCCAACCCAGGAGAGCCAGCAGTGCAGGGTCTCCCAGTCTGACCCTCTTACCTCCTCCCACGAAGACCCTGGTGACACTGGGCCCCACACAACCCAGGGTGACCCCCCCTGCCTTCTGCTGAAAGGGAATAGACACAAGTTGGGGGAGGTGGAGGTTTGGGGGAACAATGTAGTCTGAGTATGTCCCCCAAGGCTCCGCCTGTGGGATCTTGGTCCTCAGGGTGGCCACGTGGAAAGGGACCTTCAAGAGGTGGAGCCTCGGGTGCAATGGKGGAAAGAGACTGACCAAATTGTGCTATGTACATATTTGAGTGTGCCGCAGTGATCACCTTTGTGTATATCTATAAAGCATTAATATAAAAAATCTATAAATAGAAGAGGACACGAGGAGGGAAAAGGGAAGTGCTGGGGACCCAAGTGGAGCAAGTCACAGTCCGTGCTTTTATGATCATGTGAAAGTGAACCCCAATATTCTGTGTAACTGCAATATGCTAATAAAAACATCTTTTAAAAAGTGGTGGGCCTCCTGAGAGGTTTAGATACTGGGGCAGCTGCCCTCTGGAGACGGATGTGGTTCCTGGGACCCTGCAGGGGGTGTGCCTGCAGAGGAAAAAGGGCAGGCCTGGCCCTTGTCCACACTTGTCCTCCTGGATCACACGTGATCGCCTCACGTGTTCTCCCACCACACCCTGCACCCCGTGAGGCAGCCGCAGGCACCATGGCTCACACAGGCACCATGCCCTTCTCCCTCTAAAACCGTGAGCTCAGAAAACCTCGTCTTCACACTTTACTGAGTCTTGGATGTTCTGTTACAGCAACAAGCTAGTTGAACACACCCCTCCCAGGGCTAGGAGATCACAAAGGGGCCCTGGGCCTCAGGTACCTGGCACAGGGCCCCCTAAATAAAGCTTGCTCACTGTGGTTCTGTGAGCAGTTAGGGATAATCGGACATGAAAGCTTGGCCTTTGGCACGTGGGACCCCTGGCTGGACAGCCAGCAGCCCTGAGAGCATGAGCCATGCTGCGCCCTCTGTAGTGGGGAGCTCAGCAGAGGTGACCCTTGCCCTAAGTCCAGTGGTTCATATTCACCACCAGGAAACTATTTTCAAATATTTCATTTATTTAGGTTCATAATTTAGAAATTACATGTCAACTGTGCTGTTGGGCTAGCATCTCTCCTGCCACTGTCACCAGCTTAGTGCCAGATGGGGCCACCCCCATACACAGCACATGGAACCTGTGCTCAAGCTCTGCCCAGGGAGACACGTCTGCCCGCCCCAGGGCTCTGCAAAATGGTGGTTAGAGGTGCTGCCACCAAGGCGGGCACAGCTCCTCCAGCCTGCCGAGTAGGGCTGGGGGCCAGGCCCAGTGTTTCCAGAGGTGGCTGGGTGGCCCTGGATTGGGACAGGGGACAGGGAGAGCATGAGACAGACCCGTGGGCTGAGGCCAACCCTGCCTTTATTTCAGGAGAGCTTCTCTATGGCCGCCAGGAGCTCGGGCTTCAGGATGGAGGAGTCTGGCTCAGCCCCCGCAGCCTTGATGTCCTCTAGCACAGCGGCATCCCAGGAGAAGGTCAGGAGGGCTGAGGGCACCTGTGGGGGACAGTGGGATCCAGATCGTCCCCTGATGGGTGAATTGGACAGGAGATGCCCCCGCCTGGCTAAAGCCATCAGAACCAGCCAGAGCCCCAGGTTCCCACCCAGGCCCTCACCTCCCTTCCGGGCAGCAGACCTGCACCTGCTCCGCGGGCATCCTCTCTGGGAAATCCACCCCCCTCATTCCACCTTAGTTCTGCTCCTCAGAGGACCCACCAGGCCCATTTCAAGAGGCAGCAAGAAATTAGGAACCCTTCAAGATAACAGCAAGGTCAAGGTCACAGCACCAGAGGGAAGGTGGGATTCTAACACAGGAACCAGGCCTGGAGCTATCCCAAGTCCTGCCCTGTGAGCACCACAGACCACAGGGAGGGTTTGGTGACAAAGTGATTGCGACACAGCAATCAGCTTCCCAGGACGTCTCCTGGTCCTCCTTGGTGAGCCCCTGGGGGTCCTAACTGCATCACCAGCACTGGCCCCTCGCTCACCAGCCCACACTCGTTCAAGGCCAGGTTCTCTTCCTCTGGCAGCTTCTGCCCTCCCGAGGCCAGCAGCTCAAAAGGCAGCCAGTCRTTCTGCAAGGCCTCCCTGACGAACTCGTACAGTGATGACAGCCGCTCCCGGGCGTAGAAGGTCCCTGGGAAGCAGGACAGTCAGATCCAGCCACTAGGCTGGCCCTCTCCTGTGCCCCCTCCTGTGCCCACTCCTGTGCCCCTAAGCCCAACCACCAGCAACTCAGTCTGAGAGGAGCTGGGCAGAGCGCAGCTCAGGGCCTTGGCCCTATAAGAGCTGAAGGCCCAGTAGCAAGAGCGAGCCCTGCCCTGGCCCCTGGGCCCACCCTGCAGGAGGCAGCCGTCAGGGAGGCGGATGCGCAGCAGCGTGTAGGTGTACTTGCGCAGCTCCCTCTGCTCCTCCCTCTCCCGCATGGCCTTGGTCCGCAGCACGCTCAACCGCTCCACAGCATCAGCCCTGCAAGCCACACCCAGAGAGTAGGGCTCAGGCAGCTGCCTGGGCCCCAAACCCAACCTGCCCGGGGCCCCAGGTGTGCCTGCCCACCTGAGCCTCTGCTCCCGCTTGATCTCCTCTGCCGTGAGGTTGAAGAAGTCCCCAGGAAGGTCAAACTGGGAAGCCAGGGGTGAGGGCCGGAAGACACGGCGCTGCCGGTCCAGTTTGGCCCGCACGGGCTCTGCACCCAGCAGCTGCTCCTTATGCCGCTCCAGGCTCTGGGGCTGCGCCAGCGCGGCCTCACTCAGCACGTAGAACTCCTCCAGGTCCTCTGTGCCACCCCCACACAGATGACACTGCAGCAGGGCCACCCAAGCCGGGCCCTCCCACCCAGCCCCTCACCCCCACCTGAGGCTCAGCCCAGGCCCTTCCTCTAGCCTCACCCTGATCCGGGACAGGCAGTAGCATCCTCTGGAACCCAATGGCCTCAAAAAACTCGTGGGTCCCTTCCAGGCAGTTAATGCGCTCCTAGGAGTGCAGCAGAGGTCACACAGGGCCTCCTCAGCCACAAGCCCAGTGACCCCTGATGGCGACCAAACCCTGAAGCTGTGGCAGAGCTGAGCACAAACTCGCTTTCCTAAGGAGAACCTTGGAGCTCCCCCAGCACCTCCTGGAGGACACAGTTCCCCTAAAGGCCAACCACCGGGGGCAGGAGGCAGACCCAAGGACTGCTGGGGAATCCCCCAAAGCAGGGGAGGACACAGCTTCTGCTCAGAACACAGGCTGGGGTGTCACCAGACCCGCTGTTGCTGCAGAAGAACGTCACGTGTGCCTTCCCAGTATAAGGGTCAGACTATTCCAGGCAGGGAGCCGCCCACCAAGCCCATCCACGGCATGTGACTTTGGTCACCTTACTGCCACCTTCTGCTGGCCACTTCAAAGATGCCCCCCCCCCCCCGCCATGCCGGCCATCCCACCATGGCTGAGGCCAGCTGTGCGGGCTGAACTGCGGCCCTTACCTGGAACACCTTGTTCTGCAGCTTGATCTTCCGGTACTTCTCCTCTTCAGGATGCAGGTGGATGTTGTCCAGGTACCTGAGAAGAGGACGAGGGAATGGGACACAGGGTCCCTGGCTCCTTGACACTGCCAGCACCAGGGGACAACAGCTAAGAGTCACAAGCAGCAGCAGCAGCAGCAAGAAAGAAGGGCCCAGTGGGACCCGGCGCTGCACCTTGGGGTTGGAATCACAGGCACCCTCACAGCCAACCAGAGGGGCTGTCACTATGCCTGGCCTCTCAGCCCTATCTGCCAAGGACAGATTAACCACAGAGACCAGACAATAGACAGAGACGATGACCAACCCCTGCGCAAAGGCACAGCAGGGCTGGGGTTCCGTGGGCGGTGCCCTGGCAGCTGTACTCAAGGGCACTTCTGGATCTACCCGATCTGCCTGACCAGCTGCTGGAGTGAGCTGGTCCCCTTTGTCCTTATATACTCCTCAGATAACCCCAAGGGAAACCAGGGTGGTGAACCCCCAATTCCCTCGACCCTTCTGTTGCAGACAGGTAAACCAAGGCCCGACGCCTTCCCCGAGGCCTCAGGTGGCCTGGCCTCCCTCCCAGTCTCTGCTCCTTCCTGGCCCCACCGAGTCCCCAGAGCCCCACTGGGAGCGGCTTGGGTGGCTGACGGCACTCACTTGGCGATGGTGTCCACGCCCAGCTTCACCCTGTCCYGGTCTCGGTTGAATGTGTGGATCTTCATGATGGAGGCGGCTACAGGGTCTGTGGAGAAGTGCTGCAGGGGACATGGCGTGCTGAGAGCCACTCCTGGTACCTCACTGCACCGCCGGCCACAGAGGAGTGGCCAGAGTGGTGCCACTGGCTCTCTTGGGGCAGAGCAGGGGYATCCGCCATCCAACTACACACACGGCACAGAGTCAAGGAGAAGGACCCCAGAGGTCAGTCCTGCCTCAGGCACTCTCATCTCCAGGCACAGGGCAATGGCCACCAAAGCAGGAGAGAAACAGCTGCCCTCTCTGTGACCTCAGTGGTCAGTGTGGCCTAAAGTGACAGATCTCTACCTCTCGCCCTGGCATGGGAAACTCCAGCAGTGGGCCCCGCGATCCTGGCACACGACGCCCAGCCCTGCCGGTCCGCACCCCTGCAGACGGAGAACTGCGAATCTTTACCCGGGGGCACACAGGTGTCGGGGAACAGAGAGGATGCACAGGAGTGCCCCAAACCTGGACAGGGCCTACCTACAGGACCAGAACAGCATATGCTCACCCTGTGCACGACCAGGAAACGAGCCATACACACGCTGCCCTGCAGCCAGCAAGTCCTGGTGAACTGGGAGGTGCAGAGGACGGAGGGGTGGACAGCAGCCCAGCAAGGGCCCACCAGCTTGCCTAAAGCTCCTGGAAGGTGGGTTTGGGCCTTGTCCTCCCAGCACCCTCCCTAGCTACATGGGGGCCCTGGGCAGCTGCATCAGAAGCACACAGACGTCGGCTCCCAAATGAGCCAGTTCCCCACCAGCCTGATTGGGACCCGGCCCACCTGCTAGTTTCATTGCCAGGGAGTGGGGGACAGAGAAAGCAGGTCTGCCAGAGGTGGCAGAGAGGCGTCAGGAAGGAACCCAGACTCTCTGTGGCAAACCTCACATGYGCGAGCAGTGTTCTCGCGACACGGGGTCGGGAAATCGGCAGCTCTCCAGGAAAACTGCCTCACGCTCATAGCTCCCCGCAGGTGGACTCCAGCTGCGTGAGAGCTTCCAACAGTGCCGCACACCACCCAGGCAAGACAAGGAGAAGCAAACAGAAAAATGCTAGAAAAACCACAGGAGTATTATTTTAGGAGGGGGCTAAGAATGGCTTCCTAAGTATGACCCCAAACTAGAAGCCATAAAGGAAGGCCGACACCTTCAGTTACAGTGATCAAAATCTCTCCCGGGCAGTGACTTAAGTCCAGTCAAAACATAAACAATTGAGGGAAAATATTTGCAACCCACCCACGTCCTAGTCCAAGTCTAGTTTCACTGATAAACAGCGCTACAAACCAAGGGCCACCCTTCCCAGAGGACAGCCAGCCTCAGCCTAAATGAGGGAGGCTCAGGGGAGTCTGTCCCGTGGTGTCGCTTTGGCTACAATTTGAACAAAGACCAGGAAGCCTGGTGAGGGATGGGGCTCTCCCTCACCACTGGAGGGAGCCTGAGCGGGATGCCCCTAGAAGAGTCCCCAGAGGACAGTGCAGTGGCCTCTGTCCCAAGCTCCACCCTATGACTGTGGCCAAGGCCCCTCACTGCCTGTTTTCATAGCCAAAACCAGAATCGCCTGACACAAGCTGCTGAATAAGTCCCGGAAGAGCCCGTGTGTGGCACTGGGCAGAGCAGTGTGAGGGGACCAGAGGTGCTGGGCTCCTCACTGGAACAGGATGCCTTCCACGCTTCCATGATCAGGTCAGAATGGACTCTACTGTCATTTTGTTTTTTTGCGCTTTGGTACCGGGGGCTGAACTCGGGGATTGAACTCGGGGCCCTCGACCACTGAGCCGCATCCCCAACCCTATTTTGTATTCTATTTAGAGACATGTCTCATTGAGTTGCTTAGGGTCTTGAGGTTGCTGAGGCTGGCTTTGAACTCATGATCCTCCAGCCTCAGCCTCCCAAGCAGCTGGGACTACAGGCATGTGCCATCATGCCCGACTCTACTGTCATGTTTAACTAAAAAGAACCAATAATTAAAAAAAAAAAAAAAAAAAGAGCACACAGGTGGCACAGAGTAGCTGGGAGGCTGACAGCAGGATCAGGAGTTCAAAGCCAGCCTCAGCAACTTAGTGAGACCCTAAGCAACTCAGCGAGACCCTGTCTCTAAATAAAAAATAAAAAGGGCGTCAGAGCGAGACTTCGAGGCTCTGGACTCAGAGGCAGAGTCGCCGTGGCATCCAAGCGACCTGGCTCGACCCTGCTTGAGGTGCACACCTCTAACCCGGGTCTGCCACGCATGCACCCCCCCCATGACCACGCTGAGTGGGCCCAGCGCAGGGGAGAGGTCCGACTCCCAGAGCCCCGCCCGGGTGCTCCCACTCCTCCTCCAGCTGCTCGCTGCCACCGCCATGTGGATGCCAAGKACCAGCTTCCCTGTCCCTTCCAAGTTTCTACTCGGCCCTCCGGCCGCATTCTGGGGGAGTGGAGAAACTTTGGGGCCCGTGTTGCCCGCCGTCAGTACCATGAAGGCAGCAGAGGACAGCCTCTCCTCTAATCTAGCGTGGAGTATGCGAACTTGGCGGTGGCCGGGGCAGCCTCGCCACGATACTGGCTGGGGAAACAGTTCAGATGCGAGCGATTTGGGAACCAGGAGAGGTAGGGCTGTCAGAACCACAAAGGACACTTTGTGATGAGTGAGGTTTCTGTGGCGATGAGGGATGGCCTGGTTTATTCTCCAGGGCGGCCAGGCCGCCTTTGGAGGTGAAGAGGAGCCCCACAACATGAGGTTTGGGGTTCTGCGCCTTTTCCGCCCAGGCTCATAGGCACCTCTTCCTGAACGCCCTGCTGGGTCAACTGGCCCCAGGTGGCCGAGGCCCCTGGGCGCCTCTAGGCGTGGTCAGGATTGTGGTCAAATGTCCAGCTCTAACTSGAGCCATTCTGCATCATTTAGACAAGATAATTTCGACTAGAAAAAGCTTTGGGAAAGGTTGAAACGGGCGACAGGGTTCAAGCTGCTGCTTCCTGGTAAAGGTGCCTCAGTGCCGGACCTGACCTGTAGATGGCCAGTGCAAACCATAGGGCTCCAGACTCTCCTGTGGGGCCCCCTGGTTTACCTTCAAGCCCCTGGTCCCCTTGAAAGAACCATCACAATAACAAAATCCCCCRGTGGGCTCCCGCAGGTGTTTTTAAAAACAACCTGGAGAGGGATGATTGGCTGCTARGAGGGATTRGGATGGCCCCATAACATGGAAACTGGGAGACACCTCTCCAAATTTCTTATCAGCTCTGAAGTATGTTCCTTAAAATCATTGGAAGAAGGCTGGCAAACCTGCCGACTCGTGCGTTCTCACGTTTTCTAAGGGCAGAGTCCTGATGAGCACTTGAAGGAAATGCTAGTTTCCTGCGTGGTTCTCATAAACGTCTCAGGCCCTCACASTGCAACTGCAGCTCCCAGGGACTTCCAGCTTTGGAGACCTGGCTTWTCTTAACCAAAGATGAGCTCAAGAACTTACATCCAACACAAGAGGACCATTATTTCCAGGGCCCTGATGTCCCGTGTAGGAAGCATCTTGTGAAACTGGATAAGACACTGCTTATGTTTCTTAAAATTTCATTTCTAGCTTGAATGTTGAACTATCAGGCAGTGTTTTAATGCTTACACAATGAGCTCTTGCTATGAAGTGTGGGGTTTGAATTTTGAGCCCCTGGACACTTACTTCTGCACATATTTGTCACTGCTTTAAAAAAAGATCTTTCTAAGTTTAAAAAAAAATTAAAATAAAATAAAATAAAAAGGGATGGGATGTGGCTCAGTGGTTAAGCGCCCCTGGGTTCAACTCCCAGCACCAAAAAAAAAAAAAAAAGAGCATGTAGAACTTTCCCACAGACAGCTCAGGAAAAGATGAGGGTAGGTGAAGAAAGTGGAGCACAAATCTCATTAACACCTGGCAAATGGGGGGGCAGCAGATTAATGCCCCCCTCCACGTACACAAAGACGCCTGCATCCTAATCCCTGGACCACGAGGAGAAGCCTCATGACAAAGGAGAATGAAGCAGCAGAGGGAACGGAACGAGGGTGTGCTGGGTCATCCAGGAGGGTCCGGTAACCAGAGGGGCCAGAATAGGAAGAGAAGCAGAGCTGGCAGCTTGGAAAACACCTGGCCTGGGCGCAGCTGGCTCAGGAGGAGGCAGGGGCGGGAGCTGTGGGCTCCTCCCGAGAATAGAGGAGGTGGGACCAGAATCTCCCTGGAGTCTCAGGAAGGACCCCCGCTGCGGCACTTGAATCCTGCCCAGGGAAGCCTAGGGTCACAGTGTGGAGGGTACAAATACAAAAGAATGGCCAGGACAGACCCTAAGCCACCAGGTTTGCAGTGACTGGTTGTAAGAGCTGGAAAACTCACCCTGAGTGTCCTGGTGTGGGGTGAGGTGTCCCTCCAAGCCCCAGTGCTAAGGCAGGAAGGTTCAGAGGTGAAATGAGCGGACGGTGGGAGCTGGGACCAGCCAGTCCATCCTGGTTTGAATGGCCTGACATGTAGTCAGGAGTGTGGCCAGCGGAGTGGTCACTGAGAGGCCCAGCAGGGTGCATCTGCCCTGGGGTCCCTTCCCCTCTCTCTCTGCTTCCGGACCCTGCCAGGAGCGGAGCAGCTTTCCTCTGCAAACCAGCACCATGATGCCTTGCCTCACCTCAGGCCAGTGTACCCGAGTCGGCCATCTATGGACTGAGACCTCTGAAACCATGACCGCAACTAAACTTTCTCCATTCTAAGTTGTTCTTATCAAACGGCTTGGTTACTGCAACAAAAAGCTACCCACACAGCTGGGTAAAGGGTATTTAGGTATCGTCTGTGTTCCTCCTGCGTTCTTCTTCCACATAAAGAGCCACAAGGAGCTGTGGCTGGGGCTTGTCTAGCATGCGTGAGGCACTGGGTGTGAGCCTCAGCACATGTAAAAATAAACAAATAAAAGCACTGTGTCCTCGGGGAGGAGGGGGCATGGAGATAAAAAGACAGTGGAACGAGACCGACACCATTTCTCTCAGTACAGGCGTGAACACACGAACGGTGTGAATATGCTGTGTGTATAACAAAGACGTGAAAACTGTGCCCTGTACGTGTACTAGGAACTGTAACGTATTCTGCTGTCACGTGTAACAAATTACAGTAAAAAATTATAAAAATAAAAGCACCGCGTCCATCTACAACTAAAAAAAAAAGAGCTACAAGGAAAAAAATATACCAAAGCAGTTCCTCACGCAGACTGCCTCCGAGTGTCTAAGCTAAGCGTGCCCGGCYGCCCGCGGCCCTTTATGTGGAGCAGAATGTGGAGGAGGAGAGACAGACAGACGCCTCAGGGCATCTCAGAAAAGGACCTCAGCCCCCTCCAGCAGCCGCCMGGAGGGGGGCCTGAGGGGTGGCGCGCCCCCTGCTCTGCTCTGATGGCGTCCTCGGGTGCTGCCCTCTGGGTAGGCATCACAGGCACGAAGGCAGGGCGAGGCCCACCTGGAACTGGCTGCTGCCCTGGGAGGACACACAGGGGACTGCACTCACCGACAGAATAGCTTCTCTGATGTGGGTGTCCCGCTGGTCCCTCCTCAGAGTGGCCCCCGTGAGTGGGCAGGTGAAGTACACGCCAGGCACCTCGAGGTGTGTCGAGCCTTCCTCTTTGGGCTCAGGTACCTGGGGGGTGAGAGCGCTGAGCAAAGACTGTGGACAGAGGCGGCCCCAGGACAGTGCTGGCGAGCATGGCCCCTAGAGCCTGGCGCTCCTGGCCTTCACTGTCCCTTCCACTTGTCAGCTGAGGGCCGAGCCCTTCCTCCCAGGTTCCCTGGCCCATGCGCCATCCCCCAGTTCCCAGGGCACCGACATAGAGCAAGGCCAGCCGGGAGCAACCGCTGCACTTCGCAGGCGTCCTGCGCCTGCAGCCACCCCCAGCTACCGGGAGCGAGTGTGGGGCTGGGTTGGAGTCGGGGGGCTCAGCACCTCACATTCTAGGCCACGTCTAGGGTCTCTTCCATTCTAAAATCACCGCTTCCTGGCCAAGCTCTGCCGAGACTCCCAAAGGATCCCTCCTCCATGGAGCCCTCCAGGCCCCGGGACACAGGAGGGCTGTGCCAGACTGTGGCTTCTGAAGGCACACAGAGGTTCCAGTCCTGCCCCTCCTGGCCAAGGACAGCAGCCGTCACCCCTGGGAACCTCAGGAGCACTCTTGGCACCCTCGGGGTGCTGAGCCCCGAGGCCCCAGACGGCGCGGGCGTCCACACCCACCTGCCTCTGTGGTTCRGGGCAGCACGGAGTGGACACAACACCTCTTTTATGCCCCTGGCAGCAAGTCCTCCTGGCTCAAGCTCTGCCACAGCCCTGCCAGGGGTCCCCGCCGCCCGCCTTGGGGGCAGTTCCACAGCAAAAGCCTTACCTCCTTGGTCCCTGGAAGCTCAGGACCACCACTGACGGTCGCCTCGGCGCGTAGTTCCTTTCTCACTGGAGGAAGGAAACAAGAGATGAAGAGAGGAAAATGGGACAGCCATCGCCCTGCCCAGGCCGGGCCCCGGGCCCCACCCACACTAGGCCTGCCGGCCTGCCCGCCTGGCAAGCGCCCGCCCGCCCACCCGACGCTCTGGGTCAGGCTCTAGTCCTCTTGCTGGGCTTGGTCTTTGTGCACCCCCACTTCTGCATAGCTCAGCTGCCCTCCTTCCTCGAGGAGCACCTCTGTCACCCGCGCCCCTGACACCAGGCCAGTGCCACCCTCCCACCTGGCACATCCCTCTTGACTTTAAAACACCCTGTTTACTGTTTCACCCAGAGCCAAGTGCTAGGTCCCCCACCTCAGCCCAGGATGACCACCACTCACCCTGGTTCCGAATAGAGTCCTGTGACGTGGGGCCCCGGGCCCTGGGCTGCTTCTGTTCCAGCCGGGCCAGGGCAGCTGCTGCTGCCATCTGTGCCTCGTCAGTGGGTCCCTGGCGGGGCTGCCTGAGGGCTGGCTGCTGGGGCTTTTCTCTGGGGGCCTTCTCCCTGGGCAGAGATAGGGGAGTAAATGGCCTCCCAGGGTGGCCAGGGAGGCTGACCCGGGGAAGTAGGAAGAGCACCTGCCCAGCCTCGTTCCTGCCTCCTGACCCCTCAGACAGACATGTGCCCATCTACACAGGATTGTCTTTCGCCCTCCCAGGCCACCCAGGGCCCTGACAGTCCTGATACAGTGGAGGAGCCTCTGAARGCAGGAGAGGCAGCTCTACTTGGAGCTCTGCCCCTTTGGGCAAGTGGTGCCCCAGCTGGGCCTCAACATCCACATCTGTAAAATGGACCCACAGCATCCTCCCCTGCAGAAGTCACCCTGACGTTCCCAAGCACTGAAGAGGCCCATGGGTCACGACCTTGCCTCCCTCCCTCCGCCCCTCAGCACAGGACTGCGGAGGGCCTGCCCTGCTGGATTTGGCTGGCCCTGCCCGTGTGCTGCCCGCAGGCTCTCCAGGAGTGCTTCTGGCCCCTCCTCACAAACCCTCCTGGGCTCACAGGAGCATGGGCAAGCTATCCCTGCCAGGGCTGACCACAAGGCCTGATCCCTGTCACCCTGGTGTCACTACTCCACACCCTGGATGGGCAATGGGTGGCTCCATGACGACTTAGCATAGAGGGTGCTGGCAGCGACTCCTCTGGGGCCTGCACTGATACAATCGTCTCGCCTTCCCCTGGGACCCTCACCCGACCCCAGTGGTTCCCATCATCTGTGCTCTAGGTCCACAGAACCTTCTAGGGGCCTGGCGTAGCATTGGACCCTCACTCCTCTGCTCCATCAGACACTCAGCAGCCATCCTGTCCTGACACCTGGGGGCCTGCCTCCTGCCCACCCCACCTCTCTCCATCGTCCCCACAGCTGAGGGTCTTGAGATGAAGAAAAGATGGCTCCCGCAAACCCGCCCAGCATCATCCACTGTCTAGACCTTTCCATGAAACAGCATTTCCACAGCGCTGCCAGCCTGCAGGGACTCTAACTGGGCAACCAGAGGGACCCCCTGAACCCAAGCCTGGCTCGCCATTCCCCTGCGCCAACCCCCTCATGGCTCGCGTGACAAACTCAAGTGCCACCTTCACTTCCCTCCACTTGGGGCTCCCCTCTGGTCCCCCATAGGCAGCCCAGTGTGTGGCACTGAGGAGTCTTTGCACTTTTTACCTTTGTGCAGAACACTCCACCTGGGGGTGGGATAAAGCCAGGTCTGCAGGGGCTGCTGCTGAGGGGCCGAGAGCCACATACTGGTCCTGGGGAGTCCCATTCTCAGCTCACATGCCACCTTCTCAGAGGGGCTTTCCTGGACCACCTGACAGCTGCCTCACTGCCCACCAACTACTTCTCTCTCCCAGGGGCCTCAGCGCCACCTCCTTCTTGTGGCATCTGTGCTGACTGTCCCCCTGGAAGGCAGGCCCTAGAGCACAAGGCCCTACCTTTGCCCAAGCCTCCAACAGCCTGGATGCTGCTCTTAAGTCCCGCTCCAGCAGGCCACATGCCACAGACACGTGGACCTCCACAAGCTCTCTCCCTGACCACCCTGAGTCCTCCTAGTTCCTCCTAAACCCCTAGACTGAGGTAGCCCCAAGCCCCCATGTCCCTCCCATCACACAGCCCCACCACTTGTTCACCATCTCCAGGTTTGCCACCCTCCTCCCTGCCTGGGTGCAGGAACCCAAGGTGTTGGCTACCTGGCCCTCATGGCCTGCCTTCTCCAATCAGCGCTGTACCCCTGAGATCCCAGGACACCCAGTCCTCATGCAGGACACCTTGGTGCCTCCCCTGCCCCTTCTTGCCTGCCTCTGGGCTCCTCCCCTACCTTCAACCCCTCCAGGATTCCTTCCACTATCCCCCACATACTGTGGCTGAGCTCATCGCTGCCTCCTGCAGCAGCCCTAGCCTTCCAGGCCCCATCTCCTCACCCCCACCTGCCCCAGTCTCAGACAGGAACGCCTGATGCCACACCTGTTCCATTCCCACCCATGCCTCCCCAGGAGCCTCCAGTGGACAGACACTTCTCCCACCAGGCCTCCATCTCCTGGCAAAAAGGCTCCTACCTCCCAGACCTCCTTTGGCCCCTCACAGCCACTCAGGTTACACCCCAGACCACAGCCTCAGGCTGGCTGGCCTTCCAGACTCTTCCTAGTACTCACTCCCCTTTCCTAGCACTGCAGGGCCAGAACCCAGGAGCCCTCTTCCCAAGGAGGCTCAGCCTCACTGACACTCCAGGATCCCTGCAGTACTTGCTCCTCCAGGTTCAGCCCCAAATCTCAGGTCATTCCAGATATTTCCCAAGCCTCTCCTTTATTCCTCTAGGTCTCTGATCTTCCTCCGGCAACTGCAGCCCCAGACTCCCTCATCCTCCACCGGCCAGTACCCATTGGCCTCCTGCCCCGCCCGGAGATCTCACTCCAGCCCCGGCTCCCAAACTTCACCACATTCCCCCAACCCCCTCCCATGCTCCGCCCCTCCTGTGCCACCCTCAGGTGCCCCATGCTCCGCCCCTCCTGTGCCACCCCCAGCTGCCCCCATGCTCCGCACCTCCTGAACCATCCGCAGCTGGCCCCAGGCTGCACCCCTGGCCCCCGCCAGATCCTTCTTGATCTGTCTCCGCCCCTTCTTCCCCGCCCCCGTTCACCACGCTCCGCCCTTTTCCCCGCCCCAGGCCCCATCCAGCTTCCACGCTCCGCCCTCGTGCCCCGCCCGCCCCCAAGTCCCCTCCCCGAGCTCCGCCTTTGTCCCGCCCCTGGCCCCCTCTCGCTTCTCCCACGCTCCGCCCCTCCTGGCACGCCCCCGTCCCCCMGCTGCTGCCGGAATCTCGCCGTTAGGCCTGCCCGGCCTCTCCCTGTCAGCCTCCCGGCCTCTGAGCTCAGACTCCTCACCACCCGTCCCGTCCCCGCCGGGCTTTAGCGCCCTGCAACCGTCACGCACCCCGCGGAGTCTGTGAGTTTCTGACCGGGCCCCGCGCTCTTGAACTTGATGTCGGCCTTGATCTCCTGGAAGAACTTCTTCATGGTGGCAGCAGGCCCGGCGGCGGGGGGCCGCGCGGGGCGGGGGGCGCAGGGCCCAGTCGGGGAGGAGCCGGCAGGAGCCAACAACCGGAAAGAAAATACCGCGCTGCCGGAAGTCCCTCCCTCGAGCGGCCGCCCACGTGACAATCGGCCCAACGCAACTCTCTAGCTCTCCGCACCTCGCTGGCCCGGGGCGACCGCTCTGCACTCTGAGACCACGTCTCGGTGGTTCTACCGGAATCCGTTGCCCGGRCGACGGCGCGCTTCCCGCGGCGTTCCCGAAGGGGTGCCTGAGCTACCCGGCGCCTGACCCCGCCGAGGATGCGCTGGCTTTGTCCCTTGCCCTACTCAAGAACCTCCCCTGGCACCCAGCGCTTACGCAACAAAGTCCAGTTCAACGGGAAGAGGACATGCAGAGCCYCTCGGCCTTCCCGGGCTGGGGCCGCCTCGCCCCCGCGCGCCCCTGTGGAGACGCGCGGGGGGACCTCGGCTGTGGCCTGCGGGCCCTCCCGGGCGGAGGGCACCGGGGGAAACCAGCTCGTGGGGGCATGTGCTGCGCTGTGCGGGCTGCAAAGGAGACGCCCTCCGCGAACTGTCCCCCAAGAAGACCGCGTGGCTGGAGAGGGAGCGCGGTCACCCGAGGCGCGGAGAGCGGTTGCCTCCCTGGGAAGTGGGCTCCAGTGGCGCCGGCCCCGGAAGGTGGGCCCGGGGTGCGGATCAGTGGCGGGAGGGTCTCCAGCGTAGGCACCCGGCCAGCGGGCGAGAGAAGGCCGCTTCCCTACGCGCCCGGAGCGCGGGAGGGCTGCTGCCTGGGTTTTGAGGGAGGTGGAGAGGAAAGGCACAAAGTGGGGATGGGAAAAGGCTATAGGGAGCCCTGGAGCAGTTTGCAACAGGAGTAAAGGGGTCGGCGCAGGAAAGGCTTTGGGGGGCTTGCTGGGGAAGGAGCCCGGGGTCTTGGGCGGTTTAAGCACACACTGTATGACTGAGCAACCCCCCAAAAGGACATTTTGTTTGAGGGAAGGCACTCCTCACCGAGCCACTCCCCAGCCCTGTTATCTATTTTACTTAGAGACAAGAGCCTCACCCAGTTGCTTGGCGCCTCGCTTTTGCTGAGGCTGGCTTTGAACTTGCCATCCTCCTGTCTCAGCCTCCCGAGCCGCTGGGATTACTGGCATGGCCACCGTTTTTGAGACCATCACGGAAGTTTAAATATGTCTGGCTTTTAGATGACATGAAGGATTTAAGTTGTTTAGGAGGAATAATGGCATGATAATTGTATGAAAAATAGGTATTTGGGGACTGGGCTCAGTGGTAAAGTGCTTGCCTTCCATGTGTGAGACACTGAGTTTGAGCCTCAGCACCACGCAAAAATAAAGATACTGTGTTTTCATCTACAAGTAAATAAATATTGTATAAATGTGTGTGTGTGTGTGTGTGTGTGTGTRTATATATAAAGGTATCTGTTGGGCTGGGGCTGTAGCTCAGTGGTAAAGCACTTGCCTCACATGTGTAAGGCACTGGGTTCAATCCTCAATAACACATAAAAATAAAGATATGGTGTGTCCATCTACAACTAAAAAAGTATTTTTAAAAAATAGGTATTTGGGGCTGAGGTTGTGGCTCAGCATTAGAGCACTCACCTAGCACATGTGAGGCCTTGGGTTCAATCCTCAGTACCACATAAAAACAAACAAAATACAGGTATTGTGTCTAACCTAAAAATAAATATTAAAATAAACAAAAAAATAAAGGTTTAAAAAAGGTATTTGCCAGAGATGCATTCAAAGTGTTTATGGGTGAAATTACATTTAAGGTTTGCCTTAAAAATACTCCAGAAATGAGACAGGCAAGGTGGCCACACCTGTAATCCCAGCAGCTCTGGAGGCTGAGGCAGGAGGATTGTGAGTCCTGCTGAGCCTGAGGCAGGATTGCTGGTATCCCATCTCAAAAACACAAAAACACACACAAGAATCCTTGTGGCTACCTATTCTTACGTTAGGTGGAAGAGAAAAGCAGGCAGTTCTCAAACGTGTACTGAGCATCTCCTTTTTGTCAGGCCAGTAGACTTCAGCAGGGCACAACACAGGGTCCTGCCCTCATGGGACTCGCCGTCAAATGGGGACACACCATGAAAGATCTAGGTGGTTCCAGAAGGCGCTGATGACCTACCCTGGAGAAAAATAAAAGAGAAGACAGGAATGAAGGATGGTCCTACTATGTGGTGAGGTTGGTCTTGAACTCCTGAGCTCAAGCAATCTTCCCTTTTCACCTCCTCAGTAGTTTGGGACTCCAGTGTGTACCACACCAAACCTGCTGGAAGGTTAAACCCTGAGCCACACCCCCAACCCTTTAGGTTAAGTTTCGAGACAGGGTTTTGCTAAGTTGCTAGGGCCTTGCTCAGTTGCTGAGCCTGGCTTTGAACTTAAAACCCACCTGCCTGGGCATCCGGAGCCGCTGGGATCTCAGATGTGTGCCACTGCCTCCAGATTGAGAGACGGTCTTAGGTACGCTAAAGGCATCAGCCCCATGAAGAAGATGAGTGACCAGGGGCATGTGGCAGAGGAGCATCTCCAGCAGAGAGGCAACCGGGGAAGCTGGAACGGGACTAGTGAGGGGGGAATCGACGGAGCCAAGACCAGGTCCACTTGACCTCCTAGTCCCCTCAGTGGGGTATTCTGTAGACACCGGGAAGTGGGGTCCCAGGAAGGAGATGGCAACAAGGGAAAATCCTCCAAGCGATGTATCAGTGAGCAATTGCTGACTTACCCTCAAAACAGCCATGGGAAACGTCTCAGAGAGATCAGAAGGAGCCCCGCAGGTGGATCAGACCCAAGTTCTATGTGGTTGACAGCAACCTCAGAGAGACCCAGGAGTCTGGGTGGTTCCTATGAGACAATAATGGTGTGTGGTGGTGGTTTATCTAGCGGTGGTGATGACGCCCTGAGCATCACTGTCCTCCCGACTGGGAGATACTGGAAACTGAGGGACACCCCACTCTGAACTCGCCCCCTGCATCTCACCATGGGTGGCTCCTTGTCCGCTCCCTCCCATAGTCCCCTGGGTTGCTTCCTGGCTAACCTAGGGTGTCTCTCCACCCCAGACCTAAGCCCCCCAAAACTTATCGGCTTGTGCAATTAGATCTTGGCCCAGTATCCTTCGGACCCTGAATGTCCACTTCGGCACCCTAGATCCCAGTGTTGTAAGGATCTTTCAGCCATTGTGAGCACCTGGGACAATGAGAAGCCATCCCCGCCCTCAGCCTTCTCTCTCCTTCCTCCAAACCATCCCTCTGCTCCTCCGGTTCTCAGGCCCAGGTTCTGCTCTCTTTTTTTTTTTTTTTTTTTTTTAATATTTTTTAGTGTTGAAGGACCTTTATTTTTTTTTATTCATTTATTTATATGCAGAGCTAAGAATTGAACCCAGTGCTTCACACATTGGAGGCAAGCGCTCCACCACTGAGCCACCACCCCAGCCCCTCTGCTGGTCCTTAAACCCTCTCTTCTCATCCTCAGGAGCCTGCTGACAAACCCCTCCCTACCGCTCTCCACCTTCTGCTCCGACTCCTCTCCTACTTTGACTCCTGCACCTACTTTCCGTCCACCTGCTACTCACGCTCGCTGTCGCACAGCCCCCTCTACCCAGCCCGCACCCCCGCTTCCCTTTCAGGAAGTAGCGGGGTCAGGGAGTTGTTTGGGTACACATCCCTTCTCCCTTAGTGACCTCTCCTGAATCAAAAGGAGGCTAGGGTGTTGAGGGCCACAGCCCAGTCGGGAAGACACTGGCATTCTGCCAGAAGAGAGTGGTTGAGAGCTGAGATGATGATGGTTGTGTTAAGCTGTGCATTCAGTTGTATATGGACCCCTGCTGTCCGGCCCTAGGGTGGCTCCAGAATTGTGAGGCCCCGGGAATAGGGTGGTCCCTGCTGCCTGGGGGGGGGGGGGGGCGGCTACTTTGGAGTTCCCCTGGAGTTCTCCGGGTCCAGTGGGGTAGGTGCGGAGCTGGAGGAGAGCCCAGAGAGTCCCCGGGGAGTGTCCCTGGAGTGCTGGTGGAGTCCAGGCAATAAAGTTTCCTGTCTGAACAGACAAGTGCTTTGTGGCGGGGCTCGGTGATTTGTGCCCAGCCAGACTGCGGCACCTTCAGGATGCATTAAGGAATTCCAATATCCAACCCAATCACAGGATCCAACTTTTCACATGATCCTACCCAACACCCTCCTACCTGAGGAACACAAGTGAGTTTGGGAGCAGGGTGAGGGACAGCAGTTTTCCCAGCTCCTCCCTGACCTACATCAGGACTTCCATTGAAATGCAAATAGAAGATATCTGCTGAGCCCCCCCMCACACACACCAAAAACAAGTAAAAGTGTCTTTTACCTGAACTCAGACTAAACCAAAAAGTAAATTGAATGGTACTTTACTAACTACCAGCCAGTCATTTTTTTCTAGGACCTTTTTTCCCTAAATTCCATAATTTAAACTCATAATTTTGGTCCTCTGCACCTAGGTCAATGTTTTTCTGATCAGTCCTATTTTTATTCAACTATGGAGTTTTTAAACAGCTGTAACATTGCAATGGAGACTCACCTGGGAAAAGCTACATGGCCTTTACTTTTGTATGTGTCACACTGTGTGTTGTGTTGTCTGCCCATATATGTGTGTGTGTGTCCGTATGTCGTGTACAAGATATCAACATTGGCAGGTTGAAAATGAACGCTCATAAATTAAAATGGATCCAAATACCTTTAATTCACGATTTAAGAAGTTTCAATTAAAATGGGGTAAAGAGATGAAAGTAAAGATGTCTTTAAAATTAAACTTAAGTCTCTCTAGGTGGTCAAAGAACTAATAAAATATTGATGTCTATGAAATGTCTAATATCCATTGTTTCTAGGAGTTTTCTTCAACAAGGAAGAAATGGCTACTGTTCGATACGCTTATATCTTGATAAAARTAAGTAAAGTAGATTTGACATGGGACTTCTCATAAATGTGTTTGTTAGACATCTGATTGATTCACAAGGTTAAAATGCTAACTCTTAAATATACCATCAAGTATTCCTAATTCAAATTCCATTGGGTAACATTATTGATGTTTTAATAAATTGGTAAATGAAAAAAAGGGGGGGGGTTAAAGTTGCTTTGTCATCACTGGAAAAAGGTTACTAAAAATTTCAAGTCCCAACAGGTATAAGTCTATATGTTTGAACATTTGTGTTTTCATGAAATGGTAAACAGATGTGATTCTATATACAAAGGTTATAGAAGATTTCTGTATACAAAGGCCCAAAAGTTTTGACTGTTCCAATTAAGAGTACTGTCAATAACAAAGTATTTCTTTTTATTAAAATGAAATTATTTATCTAAATTCAGAAATTTACCAGAATTGTTTCAGAATGTGAACAGAAAAGAGGGTTAACAGATGGCAAAGATGGGATGGGGTTGTGGCTCAGCAGTAGAGCGCTTGCCTAGCCCATGCAGGGCGCTGGGTTCAATCCTCAGTACCACATAAAAGTAAAATAAAGGTATTGTGTCCAGCAGATGGCAAAGAGAAATTAGAAGGTTCTAGGTATGGGAATCATATTTAATAGAAGGAAAAGAAAGTGTTTCTGGATAAGAAAGTCTTTATGTGATGAAGTAAATAAAAGGGTTTAAATAAGTCAGAAGGAAGATCTGTGTAAGTTGCTTATATATGTATGTGAAACAATCAGTCAAAGTTATTCAAGGTTTTTTCCCCTAAGGTCAAATGTTAATGTACTAATATAAACCAAAGTTTAATCTAGGTGTTAAAAGGACAAAGATTTCTTAAGACATTAACTTACCCATAACATTGTGTTCATTAAGTTTTGTTTTTGTTTTTTTTGAGCAAGTAATCTTGAAGGAATTAAGGCCTGTGATTAAACAATAACTGTTATTTTGGAATATTGTAATATTTTTTAAAGAGAGAGTGAGAGAGGAGAGAGAGAGAGAGAGAATTTTTAATATTTATTTTTAGTTCTCGGCGGACACAACATCTTTTTTTTTTTTTTAAAGAGAGAGTGAGAGAGGAGAGAGAGAGAGAGAGAATTTTTAATATTTATTTTTAGTTCTCGGCGGACACAACATCTTTGTTGGTATGTGGTGCTGAGGATCGAACCCGGGCCGCACGCATGCCAGGCGAGCGCGCTACCGCTTGAGCCACGTCTCCAGCCCCTGTAATATGTTTTTACTCTTGTTAAATTTATTTTGTATTTTCCTTATAAACTGTCTAAATGTTGCCTGTTAATGTTTTGCAGAGGTATTCCTTCAAGAACACGCAACYTGGGGCTGGGGATGTGGCTCAAGCGGTAGCGCGCTCGCCTGG